TGGAAAACTGCCAGCCGAGCACCCAACCCCGCAAGCCAATAACGGCCCCGCCCCGCCCCGCCCTTGACGCTCTATGTATGCCGGTAGGCCGGAACAAGTGGGGGGTTTTCCGGAGATGTCATCGCAAAGACATGCCATAGCACCATTGGGGAAGAAAACTTTGGACGTAATAAGAGGATGCTAAAATAAACTTAGCAAAGAGTCCCCTAAACTTAGGCTAATTTGCCTAAATGTCTTTTGTCACATAAGGTGAAGGTCCTGGGTTTTCTTTCCTCCCCCAGCCATATTACTGAACGAACTCCTTATCGCGTGATCCGATGTTTGGCATTTCCTCGGATCGTGGAACCACAGACAGACTGCTTTCTCATGATGAGTAATGCTTCTTGACGTTCTCTATGCATTATTTCTTACCTGCGTTTTATAATCTTTGTTTTTACGTTTATTGGATATCCTCGAAAGATATATCTAGGCATCCCCACAGCCTAGTATGATTTAAACATTCATTGCCCCTGATGAGGCAAAGCCTCACTGGGTCAACATCATGATTGTTAGCTTTCTCAACTTGCAAAGCATCGGTTAACAGGAGCCTCAATCCTAAAGGGCTTTGCCTATAAATCGTTAATAGCCTGAAACTTCGTCCATCTTGACATCCCATGTGGGCAAAAATCGAGCGTATTCAGCCTAGATTGTTAATTTTTGGATGTTTTCAGTAACGGCTGTTGAGACTTGTAACGGGATACGTAACACAAACAAGAAAGAATCTGACCGTTCCCTAGAAGTGTCCAACATGCCTTGTCTTCCAGCAATCCGTGCTGTTCCCCCCAAACCTCAACTGTCTCTCCTTTCTGGCCAAATGCACGATGTCCCTAAATTTACTTGGCTGCTTGATCGACGACATGAGCGTCTGGAAAAACCAGCTTCTACCAAGGAGAAGAATCCTACTGCATCCCTGTACCGAATGTATGAGTACCTTGTTGTTGGATATACCGCCGGTCTTCGCTCTGAGATGGAGTACTTCTTCGACCGACTCATCGAAAGAGGCTTACCACGGCGGTGTTGCCCTGCAATCATCGTCGGCGAAGAAGCCGAGGCGGAACTGCTTGCCCGTGAAGTAGTTCTTGAACTTCAACCATCCTGGGCCAAGGCTGTAAATCGTCTGACTGAGCAAATCACCATTTCAATCTCTTCTGGTGAGACGCCAGAGGACAAATTCCGAAGCACTGAGTTTCTGGCTATGAATATAATAGTTGCTGAGCGCCATGCGGCCTTTGTTTAGAGCTGAACCCAGTATACTCAAGTGCTCTCTTAGTCACATCGACAAGATAATTAAATAATGACCTTGATTGCCTTTCTCTTCTCATCATCCCTAAGTCCACCGACCATTGCTGGGTTCACAAGTTGACAGGTCGTCATCGCCGGCTTCTTTCTCATTGGAAGCAACCTCAAAAACTCCTTGAATACCTTCATTAAACTCCAGAAGGTGCCATCACACAAAGCCTTCTCGTATGCCTTTTGCAATCTATCAAAAACCACAGATTCCTGTCCATACCCTTCATGTACATGCCCAAACACATGCAGCAGCGGACGGATGCGCCATAACTCCTTGAGAAGATAACGACATCCGAGATTTAGATCGAGATGAGCGAAAGGAGGGCCGTGAGTGACGAGAACATCAATATCGTTCGGAGCAGTATCTGACCAAACATTTTGGCTCCGTGAATATTGAAACGGCCAGTTTCCGTGGCGAGGTGATAGAGGGCTTCCATATATCTTTAGGGTTCGGCCATTTCTGCAGGTGACAGTTGTAGTCTCGTTCTGAAGATAAATACAATCTCCCCAATCTAGACACTCTCTTTCAGCTGCTGATTCCTCCCGACGATCACAGCCTTTATCGAGCAGTATGTCGTGGTTTCCTGCCACGATGATCTTGTGTGTGTGTGGTTGAGATTTGAGCCAGGCAACAGTAGCTTTTAGCTCTCCGAGCGACCCCGACTGTGTAAGATCTCCGGCGTGAATGAGTACATCTCCAAGGGGCAATTGAGGTTGAGAATTGTGCGTGTCTGATATGCACACAATAGAGATGGGATTTGCGGGAGGCTCGTGGGTAATGCGACGAAGACTGTATAAGAAATGTGCAAGAAATATGCACGGCTTAGACCAGAACTGTTGCCATTTGCTGGGGCGTGGACGATTCAACAACACACCAAGGTCGGTTCTCCGTGTACCGAAAAGCATATTGTTGGTGAGTAGGTAGGTAATGGACGAAGCACAAAGAGAAATGTGTGAGAATGAAGGTGCCTACCTTACCTACTAACCTACTGACATACCTACTTACCTTACCTCTTGTTAGAAGGTACCTAGGTTTGTTGCAGCCGCTTACCTCAGGCATCAACGAGCAAAGCTGTGGATGACACCTTTTCCCTGGCCAGCAATGTCCAGTATATCTCCAGTCATCAAAGGGACCAGCTGCAAGGTCCCGTCTTTTCTCGGAAGTTCGTCACATCCATCTCATATTGGGCATCAGAAGACACTGCGAGGTCCCATTTCGTCATATCAAGAACACCCACCTAGTCTCCTTTCACCTGTGCATACACATTCACTTTCTGTTCCAGCCGTCTATCCGCAGGCATTCTTATCGATGCCAAATGTCCATATTGATTGCTTTTTTCTTGTTCGCATAAGTCTCTGATGCTCTTCACTGTCCAGGCGTTGCTATTCTTTTCGTCTATGTCTCCAACACTCAACCATCTGCTTGTGTCTCGGATCTTCGTCGACCAAGAGTCTCGCTGCTGTTCCATTGCATATACTGATCAGTTGCGTGAACTGTTATCTTTGGTTCGCCCTTTTCACCAAGGTTAGTATTACATGATGTGAGTGCACCTCTATCCATATTCTTACCGGTATTCGAAGCAGCCTCTTCAGCCTGGGTTCCTTGCTGAGGCCCGGAGGATGTCGAAACTGGATGTAAAAGGGGAGTTGATGGTGCTGGAGATGGCATAGTTGGAGGTATCGGGGGCGCGGAGGTCGTTACTTGAGCAGACACCTCCCGAACCCAAGATTGCACACGATGTGAGGTGCCTGAGTGGGATGTTTTCTTCCTAGACCTCTTGTGCTTGCGCGATGTCTTGTCAATGTGGGTTTTCTTGGAATCAATCGGCCACGGGAGCCAAGAATCCCAGCACAAAAGGGCAAGGAAGTCAGTTGGGAGTCTCGGATTAGGCTTGGGATGACGATGGCGGCGCTTGTTCTTCTTCTTTTTCGTAGCCCCCGACTCCATGCCGTACAAGTCCTCAGTGGCCATGGTGCCTGTCTCTGGCCTATCGCTCTTATCATGATGGCTTTTGCTGTGGTGGCCCTTGGCATGACTGTTGCTCTGCTGGCGTTTACTGCAATGGCTTTTGCCGTTGCTTGCCCCTCCCTTGGAGTTATCGCCAGCCATTGATCCTTCGTTAATAAGTCCAGTGTTGGCATATGACTATCGATGTATGTGGAGGAAAGCCGCAATTAACCGCATAGAAAAAGGAGTTGTTTGTAAATAAGGGGTCTGTATATAGGTAGTTCGCATTGAGAGGTGATCAGTAGCTCTTATCACATTACTCACTTGACACAACAACTCTGTTTATCATACCAAGCATTTCCAAGCTTGGTTTCTATTCGAGTGACTCTAAGAAATGGTGGTACAGATAGCAATGTACAACAAATATTCACACCGTTCACCCACTCATCGTCAACCAGCCCACCTTTTGTTCAACGACTTTCCTTTAGACTCCTCTCAATTGGGTGTTATCCCTCGCTTCCATGGGCTTGTATCTGTCATTCAGCGCCTCTTCCACTGTCTTGTTCACCTTGTCCTCAGGTTTGCTGAATCGTTGCTGAAGGGCCTTCTCCACGGGAGTCAGTGCTGAAAGAGTACCGTCCTCTTGAGCAATATCGACATTCTCCTTATCCTTGCTGTGGTCCAGAACAACACTGGCGAAATCCTTGCTCTCAGCCTTTGCCTTCTGGAAAGCGCTTTTGGCCGCTGCCGCTACCTTTCCACTAGCATCACCAAGCATAGCAGCCCCCTGTTTTACGATGGGCTTGGCCTGCTGCTCAGTCTCCTTAACCTTTCTTTCAGCCTCACCAGCAGCTTCCGAGGGGCTAACACCAAAGGCTCGGGCCCATAGCCGCGATGCAGTATCTTCGAGGCCTTCGCGCACTTGAACCCAGTCAGTGTGCTGCACCCATCGCACGGCGTTTTCAACTTCGGTGTTCCATCGATCCTTGGCAATCTCAACAGTTTGAGCCCTCTGAGCAGCGGCGACTTCAGACCGTGTGGGCGGAGGTAGTGGTGGAAGAGGGTCGATCAACCCTTGGATGGCGAGAGCTTGTGCGCGAAGGGCAGAGCCTTGTTGCTCGCGGGTGCGCTGGTGAGCAAGCACGGAGAGGTAGGCGAGGGAGAGGGTGAGAGTGACGCCGCCGGTCTGATAGCCGAAGTTAGCATACAATCTTATGCAAGATTATTTATTTCAGCCTGGCTCATCGAGTTGCGTACAAAACCAGTGGTGAAGCCCATGATGGAGAGCTTTGCCCGGCTGACCGAGATGCGGTAATTTGCCGGGTTCTTGATGTATCAGAAACGACCAATACGAAAGTGAGGGTCGAATGAAGCTTAGATACAGCGTTTCATAGCGTGCGCGAGCCCAATTGCCCTCGTGACGCGTGCGATTTCCCCTTTGGAGAGCTGTTGAAGAGGTTCTGCTGGTGGTGGGTTGACGTAGTGCAAAGGCTCTGTCGGCGGACAAGACAAGCCGGCTCCGGAAAAGGCCCAGCCAAAAATTTCCCTCCACCAAAAACTGACCACCAAAGATACCGTCCGAACCTAGTATCTTGGACGGATTTAGAGCTGCCCACGTGCAAAGCGACGAACTGATCGAACACACCTTTAATAATTCGAGTACTGCCTTTCCATTGACTCGATACCCTTCCCCAGTCAGTTGCCACTATAACGATTCGTCACAATGGCTGGCGGTACAGTCAAGTACCGACATCTGAGTCGCAATTCAGCAGCCCGTGTGGCCCTGCTGCGCGGTCTGGTTACTCAACTCGTCCAGTTCGAACATATCCACACAACTTACGCCAAGGCAAAGGAAGCCCAGCGCATGGCAGAGAAGCTCATCACACTGGCGAAGAGGGACAACGAGCCTGCTCGGAGATCAGCACAGGGCATTCTATATGTATGTATACCACAAGGGCTTATTCAGAGAAGCCATGCTAACAGCAAGATTCTTCGCTAGACCCCCACCACAACCCTACCTAAACTGCTAGGCGAGCTGCGAAGCCGATATTTGACCCGAGAGGGAGGCTATACTCGCGTCGTGCGCACCGAGTCCAAGAACACATACGACCAGGGCGAGAGTGCCATACTTGAATTCGTCGACGGCCCAAAGGACTCCCGCTTCATGATGACTGCCAAGACAGTTGCCCGCGACCGAATGCTAGGGCAAGAGCATACTCCCGTCACCAGAACCAACATCAAGAAAGTCACACAGTTCCGCGGCGAGGTGCCGTTTGAGGAGATGGTGCGGAGGTTTATGATTTTGAAGACTGGTGAGAAGACTGGACCATCACGGGATGAGAGTAGTTTGGCGGAAGTCGAGGCCGAGAAGGCGGCAGACAAGAATGCTGAGCGGGCAAAGGAAATGGCCGCTGGCATCGTGCCGGAGTCAGTGAGAAAGGCGGCGCAACAGAAGAACTCGCCATAGGAGCGACATGTTTATCATATTATGAAAGGCGCGAGGCTCTGTACAAAAGCTGTATAAATTATTGAATCATGACAAGATCGTCGTTTTGCCTAACCATGGTGCTTTGAAAAAGGCGGACTTGATACGCTGCCCTAGCTCTTAATAACTTTTCAAACATACAAACATGCTCCCTGGTACAAGATGCATTTAAATGAATTCAAAGGTATCGCCGCGATCCTGAATCATCTTGCCGACTCTTTTAGAGCCCACGATCCGTTCCAACTTCATCACATCGTACTTTGAAAACACAACCTTGACAGTTCCCTGACCAGGTTCAAGTCTGAGGTCCTGCTCACTCTTGCCAAGATACCCACCCGCAATTTCAGTGTAGAAGATGGGGTTGTCAGGTAATCCGTAGAATATGACTCGCTGCACACCACGGAACTGATATCGTCGGAAATGATGTGCTCGCTCAGTGTAGAGCAGAACGCGATGGCGGCCGTTGAGGAAATGTGACCGCGCCCGCGAGGCTTCTGGCACGTCTGCATATTCAGAGATGGCCCCAAAAGTGACATTTTCGACTGCGCTTGACGTTGCAAAGTAGTTTCTCACTCGGACAAAGTCTAGATACGAGGGGATAAAAATGAGTGTTCCAGTGGCATCCTTTGCACGCTTGGCAAGGGAGGGGACAATAGCAGAAGTGAAATACTCGAATCGCGCATCAGGATCCTTATCGACTGAGCTAGATTGAAACCTTGAGAAGGTTTGCTTCGCCTTGATACCGAGTTGCGACAACATGCCCGGATACTCGGGCTGCAGCCGGACTTTTCCAGCCCAGTTGTGACAGTGTGATCGGAGAAGCTCGGACAGCTCGGGGGTGTTGAAGGCAGACATGATGATAGTCTGTCTGAAATATTTTGCCCAGTCTTCCAAATACCAACTTCTGACACGGCTAAAATCGCAACCGTGCGCATCCTTGGGCTGGAGGTTCATGTGCTCAAAGATGAATTCGACGTGTTCCCAATTTTGCATCAGAAGTGCATCCGCTTGATCAACAATGACCATCTCAATAGAGCTCAGAAAGTCAAAGTCAAGCTTCTTGTCTTCTTCAGAGCCGATAGCCATACGAAGGCCGAGAGGACTGGCGAAGAGTATGTCTGAGTTGTAGAATTGCGCAAAGTATTTGATTGTCTTGCGAGTGAACTTCATGCCCAGACGGAACATGTCATCATCGCTTCCCTCAAAAAGATCCTTGAAATCAGCCGGTCTATCGGCGCCAAACTTAGCCTCTTTGTCGACATAGCCATCATCAAATCGCTTGCGGTTCTCTTGTTGATCTGGCTCACAGATATCACGGATCATGTTCACCATCCGGAGAGCCGAGTTACGTGTTGGTAAGAGGAAGAGCACCTTGGGACGGGTGAAGCCTTGATCTCGTAATTCTAGGTCGGCATCTTGGCCCTCCTTGGCCAACTTATAGTTGTTCTTGATAACACGGTCTCGTGTTCTTCCTTGATTAGCGACTAGGGCTTATATGAAATGTAAAAATGATCGACTCACTTGAAGACATGGTTGAGAGCATGTAGACATGCCAATTCTCGTAATGAGTCTGAGTTCCGTACTGTGCGATCGCAAAACAGTACATCGTTATAATTGAAGATCAAAGGGCCCAAGTTGCGCTGAAGGGCATCGAAGTCTCCTATCTTGCGAGAGGAAGTCTCTCTAAGTTTCTGCTTGAGCTGTAGGCCTTCCAAGCCAGCAATAGGTTTTGGTATTTCGGACCCTGTATCGGACCCTGGGTACAAGATAGTTGCTCTCATATTTGGCAGTAATGCTCGCTTCGTTGCCCAGTCGTTCTTTTGTACAGACCTGACTCTCTGTGAGACAGCATCGTCATTGGGGTGCGCAAAGTGTACGTCGAAGGGATCCGTTGGGTTTTCTTCATCTTCCGAATCTTCTTCACCCTCCAAATTTTCCTCGACTTCTTCTTCACCCTCGTCCTCAGCATGATCGATATCTTTTTCGGTGTCTTCATCTTCCCCCGATGAGTCTTCTTCAGGTTGAGATTGAGTGGAATTTCTGTGGTTCAATTTTCGTCGTTTTGCATCTGGGGCACTGTTTTCGTTACTGAAACTCTGAAGAAGAGCCATGTATGGCTTTGACGATGTTGCGTGTTCATCGTCGTCGTCCTCTGAATCGATGTCCTCCATGACTGTATCTTCAGGCGCAGATCCTGACTCTGACACTGAGCTTTCGGACCTACCATATGTCAGTGACTTTCCCAGTAATCTATCATATCCAGAGCCATACTCATCATTTTCTGCAAGTCGAGTTCCGTCGAATCTACGATTAGGTCCAAATCGGCTTGTCGCTTTACCCCCTCGGCCACCTCGTCCTCTGCCACGACCACCACGGCCTCTAAAGTTTCCTCCTCTTCCGCGCGGAGGCATTATCCTGTTCACCAGAAGATTTCAATTTGTTGGAACGTTAAAAAAAAAAAAAAAAAAAGTGACGAGTTCGGTTTAGTTTGCGTCGAAGAGCCTGTCGACATCAAACAAAAATTGTTAAAAAAGTTATGAGGCTACCTTCAGCCTTGCCTTGTCAAGCCACGACTTGGTGGGGTTCTCAGCGCAAACGCCACGAACAGTCTTAACTAAGACATCCCATATCTTATCTTAGCGCGCACAACCCCAGCGGCGTCCCGCCAAACCTGCAATTCTTCAAAATCGGCGAAATTTGTTATAGGACAGGTTCGCGAGAGTGACCAAAGACGACCCGGCCCGGCTCACCCATTTCTCCGCAGACATCTACACTCCTCTCCTCATAGCTTCAGCTTGAAAGTTGCCCACTATGGCCGCTGCTGCTTCTGAGAGCTTCATTCACCTGGCGAGGCCTCTGGCGCCCAATACCGTGGGCATCCAGACTAACCTTGCCCCGCTCACTGTCAACATCCAGCCTCAGGTACGATTGCGATGACCCCTCTCCGCTTGACTATTTGTGTTCTATCGTGAGATCAGAACATTCGTCAAAGGAAAGACACCCCAACTAACATGATCTGTTCTCTGCTCAACAGGCTGTCCTCTCTATCCTCGATCACGCCGTGCGACGAGACATCCGAGATACGCAATCTACCAGAGTCATTGGCGCCCTCGTCGGCACCCGATCTGAAGATGGCACTGAAGTCGAGGTTCGCTCGTGCTTCGCTATCCCCCATACCGAGGAGGAGGACCAAGTTGAGGTCGATGTCGAATACCAGAAGAACATGCTCGCCTTGACCCTGAAGGCCAACAGGGGCGAGTCCCTCCTCGGCTGGTACACCACCTCTCATGAGCTCAACAGCTTCAGCGCCCTCATCCAGAACTTCTTCGGTAGCCCTGACACCGGCACATTCCCCCACCCCGCCATTCACATGACTATTTCTACCGAGCCTGGCGAGGACATACAATCTCGATGCTACATCAGCGCCCCTGTTGCCGTGAACGCTGAGCGTGCTGCCGACAGTTGCCTTTTCATCCAGGTCCCCCACAAGATTCTCTACGGTGATGCCGATCGAAGTGCTCTCGAGGCTATCGCCAGTGCAAAGGACGCCGAGTCCCGAACAGCACCCCTTGTCTCTGACATTGAGGGTCTTGGTCGATCAATTGAGCAGACCATCAGCCTTCTCGATAGAGCGAGTGAGTGGATTAACGGAGTTCTGGATGAGGATGAGGAACCCAACAACACTGTTGGCCAATACCTTCTCAACGCTCTGTCTCTTGCCCCCAAGGTCGATCCTTCGCAGATCGAGCATGATTTTAACAACCACATTCAAGACGTTCTCATGGTCAGCTACCTGGCCAACACTATCCGTACTCAGATCGACCTGTCCCAGCGGTTGGCTGTTGCCAACCTGACCAGCAACGAGAAGGAGGGCGAGGGCAAATCGGAGGACAAGGGTGGCCGACAGGGAGGCAAGCGAGGGGGCCGAGGCGGCGGTCGAGGTGGTGGCCAACAGCGTGAACCCCGAGAGCCAAGGGAACCTCGTGAGCCTGCTGAGTAAAGAGATTTCATGAAAAGAAGAAATGGGAACTAGATATCGGAGTCCAGGTTAGAGCAAGGCGATGTCCCGAAGACAAGGAAAGTCTAGGATATCTCCCCCTGGCATGCATGGATGTGAGATGAAGCATGGGTCAATTGTTTCAATAAAATCATGGCGTTGTGGTAGGCATGAAAATTCTGGCATTCCTGGCCATGGAATCGAATTCAATCGTCATATAAAACTATCTTCTTCTCCGCCAGGCCCTTGTTTGATCTTCATCGCCAAGAAGAATTATATCAAAGTGGTATTGAACTCGTCTAGTAAATTGGCCCTTGGCCTACAAATTCATGTCGTCCATCCTGTCCACCGATAACGCCAAGATGCTGAATATACCGTGTACGCCTTGTGGTTCTCCCAATTTGTAAACACCGTGTCATGCTCCTCCCCATTTTTACAATGACAATGCTTAAATTCCAGTAGCTGGTTTCTGGGGTAGAGTGGCGGGATTGCCATATGTTGGCAAATGCGAGAAAGGCTGGTCAGGTACTTGTGGGATGTTAGGTCGATTGGGGATACTATAATGAGGGGGAAGAGGCTGGGGAGCCATGTGTGTGGGATTCTGCGTCATCACGGGCTGTGGCAGCGGTGCGTGTTGGATATGAGCAACGCGAGGAGAAGAATACGCAGGCATCGAGTTGCTAGACCCCTGCCTTACCATACCATATCCGCCCCCATAGGGCTGAGATATTGGCTGTTGATAACCGCCAGGATAGGCTAGATGAGGTGATCCGACTTGAGGACTGCCATGATGCGATCCGGGAGCAGTGAATGGCGGCTGCGGGGGCTGGACAGGAGCCATGCCACCACCACCAGGCACAAATGATTGTGTCTTCGGGTTAAAGGCGTGGTTGCGGTTATAACTACCGGGAATTGGATGCTGACTCTTCGGATCATGGGGATTGAGATTTGCTGGGAGCTGTCCATATGCATAAGGAATTCCGATATGCCCTTGAGGACCGGTTGGGGTTCCTCCCCTCGCCTGGAATTGGGTAGGAGGAGCAAGGCCCGGTTGCCAAGCAGGTTGCTGCGGGCCAACCGGAGGAACAGGTGCACCATAGTTAGTCATAGGGCTTCCGCCAGAAGGGTAGCGCTGTTGGGCAGCTTGAGGGGCGTACTAGTGGAATAGATCAGTCGTTATTCTGCTTATGTTATTCTCACATGGAACTTACCGGGGGGGCTGGATACTGAGGATATGCCTGGTTTGGTGGCATAGCTGGCATCGCAGGGTATCCGGGACCCTGATGTGTGTAGACAGGTGCGACTTGACCTGGGTATGCTGGCCCTGGTGGTGCTTGAGCGCCGTATTGAGAATTAGACGGTGGCATGTACTGCGGTTGGGATATCCAAGTCTGTTGCTGAGGTCCCCAATAGGGCGTGTACTGATGTCGTGAATCGAAGCTGTCCGAATCATCACGTCGTTGTTTGCCAGTTTTACCTCGTTTTCCGACACTGGACTTGTCCTTGGCTGAAACTGAACTGGCTCTTGAAACGCCGTTATCGCCCTCTTCTATTATTCGTGTCAAAAAGTGTTCCTCACTGACATTGCTTCGTTACCTACCCGTGACACTGTCTTCTGAGCTACCAAAAATGCGCTCACGTGCTAATTTATACTGCTCTTCTCGCTCTTCCCTAGTAAGTCTAAAGCTGGTGAGCTCGAATGGCTGTTAACACATCATGGAATTGTACGTACTTCTGGTTCGCCGCGGGCTTATCTTTAGCATCACTACCAGTCTCAGAAGTTGGCTTAGAGGGGCTAGCACTTGGGCCACCTTCACTATCTTGGCCGCGTCGCATAATCTTCTTGGGCAGAACAACAGGAGGCGGGGTGCTACTATTTGGCACACTAGGGCTGGGGTTGATGAGTGCCAATGAGGTGGGAACTCGACAAAATGGTGTCCTGAATATTCGTACAGATCCCACGTGAGGCTCAAATGAATGTGTCATATGGTAGTAATCCGCCAGCTTATGGGTTAGCATTCTGCAGAACGAGTTGGATGGTGGAAGGTCCATGTAGGGTTCTCTAAGAAAAATAAGATGATTAGTGGAAAATGAAGGAATTTGAGGTCATAGACATACTTGGAATCCTGCACAAAATCAATGACCTGTTTCTCCAACCGCAGTAGAAAGAGTCTGTCCTTGGGTGATGCCATGGCTTCTAGAAGTTTATCATCCGGCGCCTGTCGATAGATGACACCAAGGGCATCTGAGGAGCCAGGAGTACCCATGGGTGCACCGGGGGGTTGTTCAGATGATGAGCTCTGGGGAGTCAGGACTCCTTGAGCTGCAGTGCCCGGAACTGGCTGCGGTAGCCTTCGCTCCGGAATATCGCCCAGGTGAAGCATTCGAGCTCTTGCGGCTACCTCTGAGCCCATGCGAGATCCAGCAACTAATGAACCGCGTACAGAGAAAGCATCGTCATCTTCTGCAGCGGCCTTGACACTGGCGCTATCATCAGGTCTTAGTGATTCCTTCTCATCGAGTGCAAATGTTGTGCCTGAAGTGATGCTCTTTCCATCCAGACTAGGAGGCTTAGTTCCGAGTTCGGAACTGGAATCTGCTCGTTGAGAATCGTCAGATCCGCTGTCTCTACCAACGACGACTGCAGGCCTCTCAGGAGCCAAAGGTCCACTGCCGTTGACGACAAGGTTGGGGGCTTTGTCCCTTAGGCTCAAATCCTTGAGAGATCGGTCGAGGCTGTCTTCACCGCTTCCGTGATCGGCCAGGTTGAGATTTGATTCCCGTTGCGGCGAGGGCAACCTTGCGGCCGGTGCCTTACCAGATCGGCCGTTCGCGATTATGGGCGCGGTAGATGTGGATGGTATCGTCGTCGAGCTCATGATTCCTTCTTTAGTTGGTGTGGCTATCCGTCGAATCGCTGGAGGTGCGGAGTCCTTGGAGACGGAGGCAGCGACCTGTCAAGCAGCATGAATTAGTGACGGGTAAGGAAAAAGAATGGCTCCTTAGAGAGATAAGGACCACTTATAGAGGAGCCAAGCACGGTGTGGTATTTACCTTGGCGAACGAGGGTTTGGGAAGATCAGGAGACATTTGGGTAGTAGCCATGATGGGTTGTCGTCAAGGTTACTAGGCCGATCAAGTAGTGCAGGCGGTAGAAATGTCGATATGAATATGAGACAGAAGACTGGCAGCAATGATTGACCAGGTACGAGATGAGGCTGCGGCTGAGACTGCAGCGGTGATGACAGGGAACAGAAAGGACAGTATCAGGAAAATCAGGAAGCGAATTTAATGGAAGCGGACCGGCAGAAAGAAAACAGAGTCTTGGTGCTCATCGTCGTAAAGTAAGATGCATTGTTCCCCAACTGATTCTGCTCGGAGGAAGAGATGATGGTTGTCGTACGCCTTCTTGGCTGCCCAACCTGTGATACTGCCGTGCGGCCTCTTTCTTTGCAATGAGACAGGACCAGAAATCGGGGGGTGGAGGTCAAGAGGAAAGCTAAGCAATATCCTTACAACGCCCAGGTCCTGAACAAGGCGAAAGGGCGGAAAGGTGAAAGACGACTGAAAATTGACGACGGCCAATTCTTGAGGAAGGCGGCCCGAGGCGCACAAGGCAGCAAAGACGAGCAATGTGATGTGATGCTGGTGTGCTGGATTGGATGCAGTTGGTTAGTTGAAGTTTTGGAGGGGGAGCCGTGGGAGGAGGTCGTCACAAGGACGGGGTCTCAATTGTCAGTCTGGCCGCCTGCCCTGGGCCGCCAACTTCACTGTGGAGCGAGCGGTATGGCAGGGCACAGCGAGAGGATACGCTGGGAGGCGCTGGAAGAATCACTAAAAATCGTATGCATCCCGCCTGACATGAAAGGGGGCGGACCAGTCACAGGTCAGTATTGCTTTTTTATAGTGGAGGTTTTTGCTGAAATTCTAGGCGGGAATCTGTGGACGGCACTCAATGCGACAACGAAGCCCATGATGGACATCAATAAGGTATACATTAAGGTACCCCTAGAGTCTATCTCTAAGCCTACCTAGGTGGTATCCAAGTCAGCACCGCTATTCTTACTCAAGCTTTGATCAGGCCTCTTCAGTGTAGAAATACGAGTCACGTGACTCAAAGATACCACCAGAAGTCATCCAAGCCATCGCAACTCAATAAGTACATCAGTTCTTTTGCCGTTCGTAGTACCTGCGAAGGCGCCATATTCTTGACACATTTGCACACGATACTTTGAGAAGTCCGTCGCTACACAGTGACCATTTCGGTTTCCATATGTTCACCTATAGAGGCCGTGGTGGCCCATCCCGGTCGACACCTTCTAGCGTCCAGTGCCAGAAATGCTTGAAGAGAGATATGTTTTGACCTTGATGTGATCCTACAATCACGCTGACCATCCCAGAACGCCACTACTCATATGAGTGTAAAGCCACTGCCCAAGAGCGTCCCTACGTGTCGCGTCCATCGCGATCTCAGCAGTTCCGAAATCCCAAACTGGTGCCCAAGCTCACAAATGAGACATTGAACCCTCTTGAGCAAAAGTTAGTCACAAGTAGCAAAGGTCTGTTTACTTGCTAACAGCCCTACAGGAAAGGTGTGGCGGATGAAGAGCTGGCTAAATTGGAAGCCTCACGCGCCCGCGAGCGCGAGCGAGAACAGAGAGACGATGGGCTGATTGAGCCAAACGTAAAACGTCATGGATCAGTGTCTTCTCGTTCAGTTTCTACCATTTCCACTGGCGCTTCGCGATCACCATCACTTGGTAAAGACAGGGCCAGATCCCCTGCCCAGTCGCCACGAAGTCGAAGCCCCTATTCAGACGACTCACAGCGTGACAGGCGAGATAACAGCCGCAGTCGCAGTCGCAGCCACAGTCCTAGCCTGAATCGTAGCCGAAGCCCTCGTGTGGAAGCTCGACACAGGCGTTCCGATTCTAATCGCAGCCCTTCTCCTAGAGATTTTGACCATCGCGACCAGTACAGGTCCCGGGACCCTTTACCTTCTGTCAAGGGGAGCGCGCCACCAAGGCATCCTAGGGAATATCTACCCAAGTCTTCGAGTCCGCATAGCTCCCGTCATCGACGTTCTGGGAGCCCAATGTCACCCCAACCAAGAGGCAGACGTGATCAGAGGCCAGATCGATCCAGGACTAGGCATAACCGTGAGAGACTGCCACCTCGTGGAAGGTTTGATAACAGAAGACAAGGACACGGAGGTCCGGATCCTGGGGATCACGCACGAGAACGAAGCTTGAGTCCTTTCAGTCAACGACTAGCTATGACGCAAGCTATGAAAGGTGGAAGATAATGAATTGTTGGGTATAAATGTAGATATAGTGTAACCATCATCGCACAATGCGCCAGATCCCTAAGATGTAATAAAAAGGCCGGCAAGGCAAAACCTCGACGTCTAAAAGGTAGATGTTGCTTTTTCATGCACCTAGCGCAGCATCTTCTTCCCGTTCGCGACGCTCTTCTTCCTCCTCCTCCTTCTCCCTGACCCTCAAGCCTTCTACCAAGGCCACGCCATCCATGCCAGTTGCTTCTCCAGTGCCTTGAGCGTCAACGACCGCATCTCTCTTCGTGGCAGCCTTTTGTGCACCCGTGATACGATCACGGACTAAGCGCGCAATGGCGTTGTCGGTTCGAACATTGAGAACCTCCATTTTCCTATCAAGTTCCCTTTTCAAATCCCAGTTCGGCTTCTTTGGTTGTAGTTTGAATAAATCGACACCTTGATCGTCTTGGGCTTCTTCTTCCGCCTTTTGCTTGACCTCTGCTTCCACTTCCGCAGCTTGTTCTTCGAGCGTTGGCTTGTCAAGATTGAGGGTTGGATCATGCTCAAAGCCAAGCTTGGGCCCTCTGGTTTCAGGGTCGTAGTTGCGGCCAGAGACATGGAGTCGTGAGACATCTGGCTCAATGGGAGGGGATTGGGCTCTTTCTGATTCTGGTGCAACAATTTCGTCTCCAGGTTGCTTGCGCTTGAGGTTCTTGAGCTTCGCGAGCCTAGCCTTTCGGTCGTCTGAGGCAGCGCTGAGGCTAGCGTGTGATGAAGACATGGTGTCAGATTGTCATGAAACGGTATACGGGCCCTTGAAGGAGTGTGACACCGGAGTGAAGCTGAAATATTACTTATGTTACGGGGATTTGAGGTTGGCAGGTGCGAAGTAGGTGGGAATTCAAGATGGACATTTATTAAGCGCGTCTATCCATCGCCTACCACCCGCAGAGCCGCTGTGACAAATCAAGCGCCCTGACCACTCACAGGAGAGAATCCTGCCTGAGTCGCCACTGAGGAAGCCCCTCCACTGCAACAAACATTGGATCTCCGGGCTACGTTAAGCGCAGAAGAGAGCTAAAATTATAGAGGCGCATTGAGCGACTTCGGCATAAATCTGAAAAATTTCCATCGCAATTAAGAGCAATTAGCGACTTCGAGATTCAGCTCTTACCAGCGACTACGGCGAATTCGCTACTCGTCTAGTGATCACTATGCAGACGATTGGCCTCAAGTTGATGCCGACACGGAGGATATGCCAACGGCCCTTATACTCCGCGCCTGCGCAAGGCTTGAGCTTCCTATAACGCCCCAAGCATGGACTCGAAGAGCTGTTCTTCTCGCCTTACGATACAACGCCGCGAGAAGTCACTCAAGATTGATTCGCTCTTACCATCTCGATACACAGCCATCCGTCCCGGAAGTCGGCTCTCAAATATTATCCCAACTGTGTCCTCGTAGTGCAACCGCGAACCCTCCCAATACGCAGACATACACTCCCCCCTCACTACGAGATCGCAAACAGATTCAGGAAACGGACAGGGTGTCTAATCATAGACATAGACTCTCATTAAGAAAGAGACGCTTGTGCAGCAAACACTCCCATCAACAAAGACATCGGGAAATCCCGGGATTTACTCGAAAGACTGCCGAGGAGCAACGCGAGGTCATAGAGAGGAAGAAGAGGAGGCAGGAAATTTATAACCAATGGGGTTATTTGCGTCACCAATATTCTGGAGATGAGTTGGTTGCCGTAAGACGGCAGTTCAACATCTGGAAGCGAAGAATCGAACTTCTTGAGGCCCCTGCAAAGCCCAGATCATGGCCATGGCTCGGCCACGGGAAATTCTTGTACGAACTGGAGAATACTTCAGATATGAGAAAGGCCTGGGATGAACTGGACATCGAATCTCGGAAGAAAATATGGCCCACTGTAATGCTATCGACTCTGCATTCATGTCCAGGAAAGGCCGCCCAAGTCCTTGAGTCTACGTTGGATCCCCTACCTCAAGGTTATGCGATTCTTGACGTTGCCCATTTCTGCATCTCGAATCTCAAATTGACCAACATCAAGATTATGCGAGATCGTGTTGCGAAGGCTGACGAGGTACTCGAGCTTTTCGCAAAGCTCATTGAGGATCTCCCTCCTGGCCACGTTCCAATCCGTCAGTCTACCCTAGGTCGTCTCGGAAAGAAACTGCCCCTTGAGCAAGCGGTTGAGATGCTCCAGATTTTGCAAAAGTCGGGCATCAAGTTACATCGAAATACACTTTTGCACTTTGCGAGAAATCTTGCGAGTAGCAGTGCGTACAAAGCTAAGGCATTTGAACTTCTTCGCGAGATCGCAGATAGGGGCCACGATCTAAACTCGGCGGGGTTCGCGAGCGTTGTCACAACTTTGCTACTATCTAGGCAAGCGAAAAATGGATGGTCCACATCTGACGAAAGTTTTCCGCCTCAGCGGGCTCTTGAGTATTTTCTTGAGCGCGGCTTCTCCCCGAACTTGATTAACTTTACGTCTCTGGTTGAATCCCTCTGTTTACAAGGGGATATTGCAGAAGCAGTTAGGCTCCCGTTGCTGCTCGCAGAGAACGGCGTTGAGCTGGATCAACGGTGCTATACCACTGTTTTCAGAGGCGCAAAGGCCAGCCTTAAAGCATCCAATGTGCAACTCGCACTCGACGTTGCTAGAGCGGCTAAAGCACCATACGTTGATGTGCTAAACAACACGCTCCATTCTATCTTCTACTTCGCAGAGATGGAGAGCCGTGAGAGGCAGTATCCATCGCCATGGACCGTTCCCATCTTTGGGTCCATGCTTCGCATCTATGCCAAGAAATTCGACCTGGAGCCTCTGCAGTGGCTGCTGCCCGACACTCTGCCCCTGATTCTGAGCCAGGAAGATGTGGACGGTCTTGAGAAATTCAGGTCTGGCCCCAGAAGAGAGTGGGGGTTTAGGACAACCATTGTTCCTGTTGTAAATGAGTTCTTTGAGCGCGAGGCGCCTCGACAGAAGCCCAACGCAGAGACTCTGGCTATCATGCTACGTGCATACATCAAGACCCTCTACCGACCTTACGATTTAATGTCGTTTTACAGCTACTTCAAATCCCGTCTAGAAGAGCATGGGGCTGAAAAGAATTGGGGTCGAGAGCTTGTGGAAGATCAAGGGAGCGTGGTCCATGACACATTGATCCAGGTCATGCTCGGGCAAAAGTCTCTACTACGCCCCGCGCTACAGGTTTTCGGTGACATGCTCCGCGGCACGTTGACTTCCAAGATGAAAGAAGAAGGCATTGAAGCAACGTCGCCTCCTGATGGCATACAGGCTCACCCAGCGCCAAGCCTGTTCACATTCACTATCCTCTTGCATGGTCTTTTGATGAGAAAAGAGAAAATGCTAGGGGAGCAAATGCTCCAGGTCATGCGGGAGCATAATCTGGAACCCAACGACGTGACCTGGAATACACTCGTCAAGGGCTATGCGTCAATGCAGAATCTGTCACAGACAGTGGGCACACTACAGGACCTTGAGGCGGCTGGGTACAAGCCTGACGCATACACCTTCAAGGCATTTTCGAGACTGAGGGATCAGACTCGGGCACTTGAAACGATGGAAAAGATTATTGACGAGAACAAGAAGAGGCTGGAGCAAACCCACTCTCAATGATTTGATAACATGATAGCATAGCGAAGTTGAGGTGTTGCGGATTGACGATTGCAGCATGTATTATTACTATTGGCATCTTATGTGACCCTTACATACTCTTTCGGTTTGGTTGTACGAGTGAACTAGGGAGGATTTTGTGTTTAAAGGGTGGATGGGCATTTGTTCTTGGGAGTCGCATATTTACGGTTGAATTTTTGCAACAGGAAAATCGTATTTGTATAATATGGAAGTTTTGGCATAGATTTTTTAGATAGTGCCTACTTAGATCATGCTTGTTAGGCTACGACCTGATCTCATATGCCACGCATTCTCCTCTGTTCGAGTCTGGTAGCTCAAGTATTTATCTACCAAGCGCAACTCTGTGTCTTCTCTTCTTGGTTTACTCACTTTTTTTTTTTGCCGCCTCATATAGCATCTCCTTTCACAACACTCACTCACTATGGTTGGGTCTAGGCTTTGTGTGGCGTGACGGATTCAGATCGCTGTTGTAGTGGAGGCTATCCCCACTCGATTCAAGCATCCAATCTAATCTCGAGTCGACCTACATTCTATTACGACAGGACAAGACGAGAACCACCACAAAATAACCTCGTTCAGGGAGCCTCGATCAAGGATTGTCGTGGAAGTACTGTTTCTCTTAGCCCATATCAACCTCAAATTGCCAATCAAACTCCGTCAAACCACTATCTAGACTTTTTACTAAACTCACTATTGGGACTTTTCTATCTTGGTGAAAGATACATCAGAGCTCATTAGCTGAACATATCTTCAAACATGTCCAATTCCAACATAAAGCATCTCACCGGAGTTTTCCGAGCAACAGACAACCACAAAGTCACGCGCAACCGAAAGCCTGTCTCATGTATAGCGTGTCAGAAACGCAAGTCGAAATGTGACCGCGGGAAGCCCTCTTGCGGTGCCTGCCACAAGCGTGGCGATCCAAGATTGTGTGTATATGGAGATGCAAATGGATTCGCAGACAAGGAAGAGATGCAACTCAAAATGGCTCAACTTGAAGAAATCGTGATGCGTCTCGCCAAGGCTTCAGAAGCTTCAGATGTCCGTCCCAGCATTGCAATGGCGGGGGATACGAACTTGCCGTCTCCGCAGGTAGTTGAAGAAGGCTCTGATGCTGCATACCACGGTGAAACGTCTTGGGAGGCAGTGTTTAAGAGTATTCACGATATTCAGAGTGTTCTTAGTACGCAAGACGAGCCCGATCATCACGGCGAGCCTGAGACTTTATCCTCTGCGCCAGACATTGCAATGGGAGGAATCTCGCCAATCGCTATGAGCGAGATCATCGACAGCGTCCCATCTCGTCAAGAAGCCGATATTTTTGTCACAGCTTACTTCCAGGCCAAGTTCCTAGCTGTACCCTTCATTCACGAGCGTCATTTTTGGCGGCGTTATGAACTTTTCTGGGCTTGCCCTCACAATTCCAACTTCTTATGGCTGAGTATAATGTTCTCTGTTCTCAGTCTCGGTACAATGGTGTGCCAAATCCAGCAACCACATCTCCCGCTGCTTCAAGGGCCAGATTTCTACATGCAGCGTTCTGCTCGATGTCTGGGCACGGGGGAGTATCTCAAAGCTAGACCATATTCTGTCGAGGCACTCACACTGTATGCTCATGCGGTCAACGCCAGGAGAAAGGACTCGGAGGCTACTATATGGTCCCTCTATTCACTCGCCGTTCGGCTTGCTCAGCGAAGAGGCTATCACCTCGATGCGGCGAGAGTGTCCCCAAATATCAAACCATTTGAGGCTGAGATGAGAAGGCGGACGTGGTTTACTGTACAGACTTCAGATCTACTTTTCTCCTTCCAGCTCGGCATGCCTCCTATGGTTTATCAGGAAGTCTGCGACGTTGGGCATCCCCGAAATTTATCTGATGATGACTTTGACGAGGATTCGGAAGTGCCCGAGTCTCGCCCCCCAACATATCCCACTCCCATGTTGGCATGGCAAACGAAATCTCATCTCTGCCGTTTACTACGCCGTGTTCTCCGGCATGTTCTTCGAGTCGAGTCTCCGCCTTACGAGGAAACCATGGCTCTCCAAGCTGAGTTGGAAGTATACCACAACAGTGTCCCTGAATGTTTGCGCGTTCGACCCATCGCCACTACTCCATTCGATATTCCGGCCTACACCATTATGCACAGATTAATCATAGAAGTGTCATATCTCAAGACAATCTGTGTCCTCCACCGACCTTACCTTACTGCCGAGAAGAACCAGGAAATGTACAAAGCATCTCGTGAACTCTGTCGAACTGCTGCTCTTCGGATTATCGAGATTCATCTCGAGTTTGAGCATGAGATTCAAGAAGGAGGCCGCATGTATGAGGACCGCTTCTTGCTATCGAGCCTGACTCTGCATGATTTTCTCGTCGCGTCTATGATTTTATGTCTGGACCTTCACGAGTCAACCGACATAACGTATATCTTCCTCCTACCATATCTGAGCATGACTACTAATTCAAGCTGTAGGCCACAAAACCGAAGACAACGCACGCAGATACTGGAAAACACCTGCAGGACATGGGAAACTCGAGCGAGTCACTCCAAAGACGCACGATACGGCGCAAGGGTTATCCGGGCGATTCTAAATCACACCACGACACCAAGTCCAGCATCTAAAGTGAAGACGGTGGGTATGATGAACACAGCAAACTCCCACAGCGAGTCGGCTTCAAGCAGTGATATCCAAGACTTTACGATGGCAGACTTCAATTACCCCACCGACTGCGAAGAATTCTTCCCATTGAACAGTTTCTTTGGCCCTAATGATGGCTCCGAATGGGTCAGTACTGGTTCAAACCTACGCCCCTTGACTCCCCAGTGCTCACTAACAACAACAAGTTTTCTATCGGTCATCCCTGAGGCTGCATACACGGTCGCATACAGACATGAACACCGATGGATTACTATGGCAACCAGCCAAGCACAAGAGCTGGGTCAGAACGCGAAATTGTTGTCATCGCGAGTGGCCCAGGAACAGGTCGCATCTTGCAGCCATTGTTGAACGAAGGATTTATTGCAACGTCATGTAATAGCTCACATTGGTTAGTTAGTGCACCGATCGGGAGCATACGGTACGTCAAAGAAGCCTCAAGAGGCATTTAAAATTGTAAGATTTTAACATTCAATAACGTGGATGGATATCTTCCTGCAGGTCTCGACCCGGCTTGTTTATCTCTCATAAGTCGTAGCACATGCAACACGAACCAGAAAAAGAAGAATACAAACACAACCATCCCAAATCATCAACACATCTGTCGCTCCGTCTCGTCACATGAGGTTTTCTACCTCCCCGTAGCGGCCCGTATTCCCGCATATTAGAACTCATGGCGCCTCCATTCAATATTTGCTTTTCCCGCTGAACTCGGCTCCCACTCCAATAGCAAATCCTTCCAATGTAGTCAAAAAAGACAGAGAGAGAAAAAAATCGGTCATAAATGCAATGCTGAGGCTTTTGTAACGCTTCGCTTCACTTGTATAACGTTGACTGTTTTAACCTTGTGGCCGGGTGGCCATCAACAGTGCCAACTTTACACATGCGAATACACTGGGTATCGTGTCTGAAGGTGAAAAAAGAAAGAAAACAGGCAACGCCAAGTATAAGCATTAAGAAGCGATGCCGCGTAGGACCCTCGCGGGGTTTCCAGCTACAATGGTGAAAGGAGGAACATCCTGCCATGAGTTAGCTGTCGCCTTTTTTCAATGGACCTGTCTTTGTAAGCTTACCTTGGTGACAATTGATCCGGCACCAACAGTGCTGCCTTTGCCAATGGTCCTCCCTGGAAGAATAATGGCACCTCCGCCAATCCAGCAGTCCTGCTCGATGGTGATAGGCTTGCCCATCTGAGGTCCCTGGCCACCCTGGCGTTTCTTAGGGTCAATGGGGAGTCCTGCCGTGAAAATGCTGACATTCGGTCCAATAACACAGTTGTCGCCAATCTTGACCTCGCAAACATCATTGATCGTGCAGTTGCGTCCAATGACAACGTGATGGCCAATGGTGATGTTGTAACCGTAATCGCAAATGAAGGGTGTCTCAACAGCAACATGCCTGCCGACGCGGCCAACATTGGTGACTGGGGAAGCCTCTGTGGGAGAAACTCGAACGGGATCGCGAGGCTGTAGAATTTCGAGGAATAGGCGAGCACGCTCTTCGGGAGATACACCGTTAGTAGGGGGGGTGGTGAGGTTGTTGAACCTCCAGCAAGCCGCAGAGCAACGCTCACGCTCCAAGCAAAGCTCCTTGTCGAATGGATAGTAATGTCGCCCAGACAACATCTCCTCTTTTTGAGTTCGTCTCTGCGGGAACTGCGAGTGCGATAAAGCCAGCTGAGCAGCGACTTGGGCATTTGATGTCGGGGCCGGCGGGGGAGGAGCAGGACTGTTGGTTCTTGTCGGGTGAAGTATGTTAATCTGTGGAAGCTGGTTCCCTAAATGGGCAGACTCCGGTTCCGTCCTGCTGAGATCGTGCAGTGGAGGCACACGCTGGTATTCCTTTGCCATCCTTTCTCCGAAGGGTGGCGGTGGTTGAGGATTTGCGCTGACTGGAGTTGGGAAAACGTTTGCAGGAGTATAAGGAAGAGCAGAGAGTTTGTTTTCGGGACTGGCCACAGACGCGCTGGGCAGTGTTGATGCCGTTGGCCGGTCGTCGTCGGTCACCAAAGGGCGGCCTTGTGGGGGGTCTATGCGAAGAGCCTGGCCACGATAAGGTGGCAGGGATTCGCGCTTCACAGGTTGATTACCGTAAGGGCTTTGCTGTGGCATCCCATAAGCTCCCGGGGGAATGTACGTTGGGTCCTTAGATTCAAGGGGAACTGCAGGAGCCTTGTTGTCCGGCTTCTGCCATCCTGGCCCGCGTTGAGGTGGATAACCTGCACATACAAAACTTCCGCGAAGGCAGTTTCCACCTACCTTACTGTCAGTTATGGATCAAATAACTTATATATAAAGAACTTACACTCGGGCTTCTGCTCATCGCACTTTTTCTTGCGCTTCCGACAGGTCAGGCAACCCGTCTTGGTTCTGTTACTGAAGTTCCTCTTTCTCTTTTTTGGGTCATGCTGCAAGACCCCGTCACGCCTCTGCTCGGATCCGTATTGGCTACCATATATCATGGAATGGTCATCACCTTCTGGACTAGCATTTGAGTAGTCATTATGGTCCATCTGACCGGTAGCCCTGCGAAGCGCATCACCAATCTGCTCCTCTGTTTGGCCATGAGGAGTGGTGGCCGAATTTTGCTGTGAGTCGTAACTTCGCTCATCGCGTGCCTGGTGAGAATACCAAGACTCTTTGTCTCGGTGCTCTTCGCCATAAGAGCGGTAATCTCTTGAGGGAGTTCCATAAGGCTCTCGTGATTCGTGATGAGGGTGAGCGGATTCCGGTGTGTGAGCATGCACTGCATGCTCACGACGAATTTCAACAGAATCAGACCGCTTTCGCTTGTGAGACCCCTCTACATCAGGATAACTGGGTGATTGAAACGGTGGTCGATCCGAACTTTGGCTGGGAATTTGATTTGATGAAACTTCTGGTGTAGGTGGAGGCTGAGATGTCGATGTGCTGAGTGCGCGCTCATCCATGGCTGGCTTCTCTATCGTCACAGTAGGCGGATCTGTAGTCCTGGGTGAGCCCCCATTAAGGGCGGTAAAAGTTGACATTATAGACCGACTCGCCGATGGTGCACAGCACAAGGGAACAAGTGAGTCGTAGGGGACGCCAAGAGGCCACACAGCCAAGCCTAGAAGCCTGCAGACTCAGAGCAGTTTCCCCAGAACGTGGAGAAGAGGCGCAATTGAAGTCACTCCGGACGTTCCGCAGGTGGCCGTGAAAGCCGCGAGGCTGGGGGCTGGACTCGCTCAACAATGTGTAACTGACTGAAGAGCCTGGTGATTAATGATGATGATGTCGCTGAGATCGGAACAGCTGAAGCAAACTGGGTGGCGCAGTGGCCTTGGAGAAAGCAGCAGGCTCAGGCGAATGGGCTCAGTCGAATATCCACCAACACAAGGAAATCGATCAACAGTCAGACAGTCCTTGCGGTTACAATTCTATGATCCAAATTTGAGGCCGTGCTTGGCGGAAAGTAAGGTAATTTGTGATTGGGATTGAATGACGCTGAGATTGGAAGTTAAAGAAGGTGAATCTGGGTAAGGTGATTGGATGCAGTGGTCGTAGAGAGAAGGCGAGATGAGACAGTAGCCAGACTGATTTCTCTTTCGAATTTGGGCTTGAGACCGAGATTGAACTTGGCAGCTATAACCAAAGTAAAAGAGCGTGAATCAATGGAGATAAGTTAGTGGCCTGAAAGCCTTTTCGACAAGCGCGCTCGCAGATAAAAGATAGGTAAAGTTGAAGGCGTAGTTGCTCCAAGAGTATCCGTAGCGAAAAGTCGGGTGATTGAGGTTTGGAAATGACGAGAGTCACGGCGCTTGGGGCGTCGGTAGGTTTTTGACGCGCGATTAACACTTGAAGAGCGTCTGTAATCGGCGAAGGAAAAAAAGCCTGGCTGGGGGTGTTCGTGGCGGGGAGCTCAGATCAGTCAGGCCTGGGATGGCCTGGCGGGACGGGAGAGGAGAGAGGGAGGGAGGGGGGTCCTTGGAGTTAGGTGGAGGGGAAGGGAAGTGTCGAAGTCAAAAAAGACTGAACGGTGAAGGGGGAAGAGGAAAAGGAAGAGGAGAAGGACGAGAAGGATCGAGATTAGAATGAGATCCAAGATGAAGTGAGGGTGTGGGAACCTGGGAAGGATATGATAGAGAGGGAGAAGTGCAGGGTCTCTAAAGAGGAGCCAGCAACACGAGGAGACGAAAGCTAGAATAGAAGCCAGGCTCAAGTCGAAGTCAAGTCAAGTCAAGTCAAGTCAGGTCAGGTCAGGTCAAGCTAAAGAGAGACGGCGGCAATGACAGGGACATTAAACGGTGACTGACAGTCTTGGAAGCATGGCCAGGCAAGCAAGGGACAAACAGACAGAGAGGTTTACTATAGATTCGAGTAACACCAGAACCCCAAACTTGTTTCATCTCGTGTTAGCCACATCGATCGACTAGTTTAGTTCATCACTAGAGAAGAGGATAACAGGTCGACTCTCTTCAATCGAATTGAGGTTATGTGAATTGTGAATTGAAGTGCAGTGAGGTAACTTGAGAGAGCCTTGTGGAGTTTGAGACTCGAAACAGAACTTTCGCTGTAAGAAGAAAAAGCACAACATCTCACACCTCGAATCCTCACACCTCACCCTCACTAATTAGGGGGTGGGTGAATCAGGAGACTGGGGGCCAGGGGGGGACCCTTGGACGTGGAAATGGACCCATGAAGCAGAGTGGAGGAGACGTGGGAGGGCAAGCTAAGTTACAGTAGCCGGGGCGCGCGGTTGGTAGTAGTAGTAGTAGTAGTAGTAGTGTATGTATTGGATTGTTAGCCTTTTGTTAGTGATGGTGCTGGTGTTTGTGTTGTTGCCTCGTGGTGCTGCTGGTGATTGATGGACTTTGATGGACTTTGATGGTGGTCGTATAGCAGGATAGATACCAACAGCCATTTGAGCTAAAAACTATGGACAGTGATGTGCAGTATCCTACATCCAAGGGCTCATCAGTTGGCTAGGTTGGTCTTTTACCAAATGAGTCGATGGAGCAGGTTTCGATGCGGCTAACATGATCTCTAGCAGGATGAGGATCTATTGTGGACTGAGAGAGGCAGACAGCCAGTGCTTCTCATTTCTAGCCAAGACATCGTAAAACTCGTATCTACCAACAAAGCCATTCTTTAAAATTTTAAAAATAAATAAATACACAAATAAAGAAAAACACCAATCATCTATATCTTCTTTGTGTGCTTGAGTTTTCAAGCGCAAGAGCACTTCTCCGAAGTCGCGGTGGCGTGGCGCTTCCCACGGCGTCACTCGCCTACTGGGTGCGGTCGGCATCGGGTACCTCGTCTATAGGTGAGACCTCAAGTACCTACTGCCCCAAAGGTACCTGCGCCGGAACTGCAGAGTACGGTAAAGTGCGTGCCCTGGTCTGTCTCGTTGTGGAGGAATGGCTCTGCTCGCTTTAAAGGGTCTGAGCAACCTCAACCTCATTCTCAACCTCGAATTCAGCCCGATACGCAATACTATCCCCAATTTTGATCGGGCATATCACGTCACTACCCGGTCGAGGACGATCCTCCTGGTAAATCAATTATTGCTTCCGGCGCCCAGAATTAGATGGGGATTTTTATGATGGATCCAAATGTTGGAAAACCATCTCCAGCCATAACCCTGGATGAGACAGACCCGTACTCTATGTCTGTTCATCCATAGGTATCAACCAACACACACAAAGTATGTAAAGTCCTGAGTACGGAATCTCTCCGCCCTCAAACACCACCGTGATTTCCGATCAACTACTCTGTTTGCACTTCCTGTTTTATTCTTCACTGCGACTGGTATTATTTATCGCTTGCGTTGGCGTATCGCCTGCATGTATGCAGAGCGTTCAGCATCCCCAGAGTCCGCCCATTCATTTACATCTCATCAACTCAACTCTCACGCCTTGCACTCTTGTTGCGTTATTGATCCTTCTGGCGCGCTCACACTTCACTGGGCGCTTTTCAACTGTCGCCATGGGCCGCGCGACTGGCTGGGCGACGACGGCGCCGCCCTCGACCGCCCAGAGACTAGAGTCGACAAGTGACAAGGGCCGCTAACAGGCTCCTCTACGTAGTACGTTGTGCGTTTAGCCAGACACCCTCGGGTGCGGATCAAGGACCGCACCGCGCGTTGCTCTGCCGCGGTCTTTCTTCAGGTTGGGCGGCTTTGAAAAGCGCAATATCGTACCTCGAGAATAGCATTAACACAAGCAATGCCGATTTGTTGAAGCGCACTAGACGAGACAAAGTCAAGAGCACATGGCATAAATGAAAGATGACTGTTACATGTCCTTCGACATTTGAATCTATCGTTCTGAGAGTTATCCCCAGGTAGTTATTAGTTGTTGGTCGTTTCAATTATCTGAGTCATCTCGTCTATCTCTCACGCGCGACAATGATAGCAACCAGAAGACTGTGCCGCGAGCATCCATCCACTGCCACTGCACATCAATCACCTAAATTTACGCCTCTTGGCATGACACTCCACCTCGCGATGTGCCTTTCACAAGCTTTTCTTCCCGCTCCATTATCATCATCACCACCCATAACACTGTCGGCGGCGCCGCCAAACCCCAGAACTTGAGTTCAAAACAAGGAATGCCATCCGCTGCCAGCCGATCTCTGACAGAAGCACTTGACCTCACCTCAAAAGGATACGCACGACTCGATAACAGCAGCCCAATAAGATGCTTCCTACGCGGCAACAGCCCCAAGCGTGTACAGTACCCGCACCAGGATCGCCCTTGGGGTAATACTCCCGGATCCAATGGGCGACCCTTGTATACCTCCAAAGAGATCAACTCCAGACAGAAATAGGGAGGCATACAAGCCTAGCAAGATAAAACTCCCTGTCCGACTCCTGTAATCCTGTAACTGACGCCAACCTAGTCGCGCGACTCTCCAAACAAGCCTAACCGAGCAAACTAGAGCTGCTGGCTGTCCTCCTAAATCCTTCGTGCCCACAGGAGCTGTCCTTTAGCGCATATCATTGATTATCTATTGATGTAATCTCGCTTTCTTGACGAGGTTCTATTGTATGAGATACCTCTATGAGTACTGTACCTTCGAGTATTTTTCTGGGAAAAAGTAGAATTTCTGATGAAGCCATATACAATATGTTAGTAATGTACGCATCTTGTGCCTGGAGATTACGCAGAATACTCGTAAACAATTTCTCGTCGTCAAGTTTGGTATGGTATTCTTTCTTTCTCCCTATCTTACTAAGTTGGTTCTACTATGCTCTCGCTAAGCCAAATTACCTACCTAGTATCTATAGAACACAAGGAAAGTTAACCTTTTGCGAATTTCGATGTATACAAATTTCCTTCCTACTACCTACGTGGTAGGAGGAACTGGCACCTGCTTTTCTCGTACAGTACAGTCTCAAAACGACGACGAACTGCCAACCTAACTGGGAAACAACGCTAATACTCTTGAGGTTAGCCATCGAAACCTAACCTAACGGGCCCCTTCCCTGCGACACGGCTGGGTGGAGAATATCGGCGCCCCGTTCGCTCTTGCCGCGGCACTGGCAACCACACCAGATGCTACTCCACTTCTCGCCCAACTGAACTTCAGCTTCAATACAGTGACTGTAAAAGTCAAGTTTGTCGCTACATCACGGCTTTCCAGTCTCCTGAATCTGTGGAGGACTTGTTTGTCCTCTCTCACGGCCACTTTCGCCTGGCGAGAGATCAGAGAGGCCTTACACATCGCTGGACTTTGAACAACACCGGCTTCGAAAAGCGAACTGTGTCTCCCGAGCCAACCACAAATCTTTATCCTACCATCCACCGCATGTCGGCGGATGTGGTGTCGGGACTGTGCGCCTCCTCGCCCCAATAGCCAATGAGCAGCTTCTATCGGGAACCAGATCAGGGCATTTGCAAGGATGTGGCCGTCCAGGCACCTTAGGCGAGACAGTACCATTAACGCCGCGTCTAACACGCTAAGACCTGTCTCGTGCGGACAATCGCCGCCGTCCGCGGCTGTGCCAGGATTTGGCCCAGAGAGTTTGGGCACCCTCAACCCGTGTGAGCCGATTGATGCTTGGGAATGACATGCGCGAACCAAACAGTTTATTGAGCTTTTCATATGAAATAATCTACTTACTGAGACGCGAAATGACAACTCGAAGGTACGTATTTATTATGGGATATGCCAGTATCGTATCCCAGCTCGTTCCTGGCATAATTGAGGCTGGTCCTGCATCTAGCTCAAATCACTTCGACAGTTGATACATTTGTGTGGGGAGGCAGGAGGTCACCCTTGTTTGGCGGCCTCATCCAACACTCATGATCCTATTCGATACTCGGGCCTTTCCTGAATGTCTAAGAGAGTTGCTCAGCCGGATATTGTACGCCCGTGTTCCGTCAGCGATGAGTGGCCACGCAACTTTGATTCCAGCCCAACTAAAGCAGCACCAAAAATATCTTAAGCGCAAAAGGGCACCGGCATGCATCCCTCAAAACAGCCCATTCTTGGAAATCATGCTCAGTCTCAGCTGGTGAGCCAGCATGGGCCCTGGACTCTGTCACATTTCAATGTCTGCGTGCCGTTAGTTGAGTTCGAATGCCCGGTCACATTTCACGTCATGGTTAACGGCATAACGCCCCAGAATAGAAGAGTTTGATTGGCTCATCGATTGCCGATGTTCCTATTCTTGTCTTTGTTGCTCTCCGCCAGCAGAACATCATTAACCAACAATGCTAAACTTCCTGCCTGACCTTTCGGTGCATGCATCACATTTCGCTTGGGGCCAGATCTAAATCAGTGCTTGCCACGCCTCAGTCTAGCTGCAGTGTCTAACTCACCTATTGTGCGTTCTGACTCCTGTGCCGCCAATGGCTAGAGACGCTATCAGCTCTTCCTTGTTCACTGTGATGGAAACAAGCCGCCTCCTACCTGTGATTGGTCCATTATTGAAGACAAGGGGCTGGCCCGTCGTGACTAAAATTGTCACAGCAGACAGCTAATGCCCCAAGAACGGAATGATGGAATTTTAGCGCCTCTTATCTCCAAACCCATGGCCAAGCAGGTAATAGCCAGGTCTATATTACTGCACTCTGTGTTCTCGTAGGCACACCGCCGCGTTCGTTGCGACCTCACTCACAACAGCGGTGCTGCAACTTTCGACAACGAAAGCGCGGGGAAGCGGAGGGCTGATTCTGGCAGCGTATTCCACTCACCTACTTCATCCCATTGACAGGGGGTTTTGGCAAACCTCCGACAAGCAGCAAGGTGTTCACTCCAGGTCACATCTTTTCACGCAGTTTCTCTCGTGATGAGAAACAGCTTCGAGGTAATTCAGCCAATCTGATCCATGATCAGAGCAGGCTGGTAACAGTCAAATAGCATCTCGACATGCGGAGGTCCAGTGATTGATCACCACGATAAGGCCAAAGGGCATTCGTTGCATGACAAAAATAACTCCGTCAGCGGGTCCGAAAACTACCCTTGCGGGTAATATGCTCAACCTGTGACTGGAAAAATAGCATTGTGGGCGGCATGTTCTCTTTTTTATGTAACCAGCACGGAACATAGCGAGCACTGGGGCTGTTCCCATTGCCAAGGTGGTTCTGAAGGCTGCCGAAGTGTAGTCGACTGCCGGGTTGCATCTTAGTCCATCAACAGTACCCAAGTAGGAGATCACTCATGAGCTCGAGTCAAAATTTAGGAAACTCGACCCTGGCTGTTGGTTTTAAGATGTCTCTCCGCTTTGTGCTTATGCGCGTTGTTATTATGGCACAGACATCCTCGAGATTACCGCCGGCGTCCACGGAAGATGTGCAATTGAAGTAGCTATCATGATCAAGCGTGGCGTGACTGTGTGTGTGTACACGTGAAGCCAAGCCGCAAACAGTCCACGGCATACTACCTTATGTATGAGATCCCGGAAGACCAACAAGGCGAAGCCAAATTCTTCTTTCACGCAATGCTTTGCCAGCTTTATGGATAGCCTTGAATGGTTTGCTAGCGATGGATTTGTTGGATGGGATGTGGCCTTTACGATGCCTTATCTAGGAATATGCCACTCTGCCATTATCGTACACCGAACAATGTCTTCTGCGTTGTCCCCCATAGCATCGTGCCGCGGCGGTGCATATGAAGTGATGCTGTTCTCGCCTCATATCCAAATGCATCGATTTATCCCTGTTGGAACGGCATAGAGAAACGAGCCGACATTCAGTAGGATGTGGAGGCCTCGGACAAACGCTGATGCTTGTTTGGTCTTCTTGTCTCTTCTCGACTTGATACCTGGGCGTGCTCCAGCGCCATCAGGAGTACAGAGGCACGTACATCAGCCCTATAGTACCTCTGAACTATAGGTATGTTCAAATTGCCTGGGTCTTCCGTACTTATCGGAGACCCTGCTTCCAGGACAGGCTGCACCATGAGGAGCCAGCATATTACAGCAGCCAATCATGTGTTATATAGATAGATGCTGAAGACGTCACTCAAAGAGCCTCAACACCATGAAGCAAGTCATGGACCATTTAAGATATCCCGACAAGTGAGCTTCTAATTATACAACACTTGTTTCATCTAAAAATACATCGACAGCGACTCTGCACTAACTCCACGTGCTCAGTGTCCAATAATGCTTCATGCGTCCACAGCTAGCCGCCAGCTAAGCGCCGGCCTTGCGTCGCATCCTATCTCACAGTTTTCCAGAATCACCAAGATCTTGGCGCTTAACAAGGGTCAATCTAATCTTAGATCAGATACTTTGATGCGAATCATCATACCTGCAGGTTGGGATGCCACGAGTTGGGTCTATTCTTGGACCATAGACGCCGACCACAACATGCAGCATGCAAGTATAATACTGGGCGTCTCGCCCGAGATGACTTCATCTTTCACAAGCGCTGGCCCTTGTTCGACGAGGTTCCTGTGATCTAGAGGTCATGCACACTCTCCTTTTCAGGAGGCACACCCTATCATCATCATCTACTTGTCTCCGGCGCCAAAGAACCAGGTTGCAGAGGAGCGGCAGCACCATCTCAGTCGATCCGAGCCACTCGATTGGTGCTCCGGGGCCCGTTTAGGCAAGTCGAGGGTCGACGGCAAGCAAGTCGTATGTAAGTCATGCGGGACCGAGGCATTAGATGGCCTACACGCCCTGGTCGTTCATGTATCGTATCTGCTCTAGGGGTCATCTTTTACCAGGGACACGGGTCGCTTTCCAGGGAGCTGGAGTTATAATTATAGGAGCATGTTGCTAAACTAGGATGCAGCCTCACTGTAGCCGCCGATGAGATGCATGTTCTTCAACACAACCTCATTCCTACTGTTTATCATGTTTTCCTAGCGCTCATTGCATCCCTCGCAGTATGCTTTAATGGCGCGGATCCCTGGCCGTTTCAAGTCCGTCCTTTGTAGGAGCACTTGTTTGCAAACACAATGTGCTGATGCAGTATCATTCCTCCCCCACGTGGTCGAGACGCCCATATGCCCACACCCCAGGTTCTTCCTCAAAAGAGGCACGTCTGGACTATGGGTTATGCAATGTCTTGAACAGTCACACGGCTTAGCTCCACAGGCGGCGGCCCCCCGTGGCAAAGATATGTTGAAGGGATGGTTTGTATGACGTTCTGGCCTCTAGACCTCTGCCTTCTCAGGTACACATCCAAAATTAGGTACAACCCTGTTTCGCCGGAGCCCTTGTCCATGGTTTGACATATCTCGAACCAACAACTGCCGGCCCTGGCAGATCTACCCATCAGGTCGGTGCAGAGGTGCCTGTGTTCCTGCAGGGACGTTACCTGCAGCAGGTCGCGTGCAGCAAGTCACTGGCGCGTAGAGCCATGTACCGTGGTACTTCGAGGATACATGTACATTGCCCTACTTCTTCTGTCTTTTATTGCTCTTGTCGCTGACACTACTCAGAACGCTGGCACTTCTCTTGTGCGCGGCACCGCTGCTACCAGGACGCCCGTTCTTGTCGATTTCATTGAGCAGTTCTGTTTCCTTGCTCGAGGCGTCTGAGGCCTCAATAGTAGGGGCTGTCATTTCTGAGATATCCTTGCTTGTATCTCCAGGTGCAGATGTGACGTCGCCATCTGCTTTGCTGGCGGTCGCTCCAGTAGCGGCTCCTGCCTCTGAGTCATTGTCGGTTCCTGTGTCCTGGTCTGCCTTGTCCTTTTCGACTGTAGACTCAGATTCAGGGGGGGCCATAGCCTTTTCCCGTTCTGCTTTTTTGGCCTGCTCAACTTTGATCTCAGCATCAAGCTTGTCCGATACCTTGCGGGCATCAAGCAGACTATTGACAGCCGCAAGGAGCTGTTCGTACTGATGTGTCGTAGCCGCGGTGGGCATGGCAAGTTTGTTAGGGACGTCCAGTTCGTTCAGAACATTTGTGATGCGGTTCTGTTGTTGATGAGACTTGTGTGAGAACAGCTTATTGATTCTCTCGGTTCGGAATGTCGGTCCAGAGCCCAATCGATCATGATGTGTCACACCGTACAGTAGCTCCTCCTGTGTTGAGAGCTTACGGCGCTCCTGTTGTTGCTGTTGCTGACCCTTTTTGTTGTTCGAAGCTGTCGGTGTAGCGGCAGGTCCAGTAGAATCACGAGGCCCCGTGGACGCAGCTGTGCTTTCCCGCCTCCCAGCTTCTTGCGCCGCAGCGGCAGCGGTAGCGGCCGAAGATGCAGCAGCCGCTGTCTGCGGTGGTGCGGTGCCAGAAGGGCTGGTACCATCGCCAGGCATCAACGACTTGCGCTTCTTGGACTTGTCGGCGGTCATTAGGTTCTGAAGGAGGTTCTGCAAGCCAGCAGAAGATTTGAAGGCATTTATGTCAGTGTCCGCTCGAGGATAATCGAGGCGATTATACAACTCGCGACGCTCTTCGTTGAAACGCTCACTACGTGCCAGAATGCGCTTAATTTCCAGCAATAGCGATTCCTCTTCACGGGCTTCTTCGCGTGACCGGGTCAAGGCGTTGAGCGCAAACTCCTTTCTTAATTTCTCTTGCTGTGGATTGAAATGCGCCATGAGTTCATGGAGAGAGAATTCGGGCTGCGTCATGTACTGCACAGGCTTTTGCGCTGCCATCATCTTGGAAGCAACTTCGTAGTATCTTGCCTTGAGGTCTTCCAGAGAACGTGGCCGTGTTGCTGGAACGATGGCCTTGCTCTCATCGCCGTCGGCATCAGCCTCTCCGTTCGTCGCGGGAGGGTTCCATTCGTAGCGATCCCAGATCAGAGGCCATCGAAGGTCAAAGTCGCGCGCCAACTCGAGCAAATAATCCGTTTCCTCCTTGGTCCAGTCATTGTGTTGTAATGATTGCTGGTACTGATCTTCGCTGTACTGCGGGACTGAAACCTGCACGTTGTATTTTGCAAACGCAGAGTTCTCCGTTCCATCTCTGAGTAGTTGTGGCTGTTCTCCTTGACTCGTTTGTTCTGGTGATACGTCACTATCATCTTGCTTCTCATCCTTCCTCCTCCAGTGCCGCAAAGTGAAATCTGAATCGGTACGCGCCGAGTTTTTGAACGATCGCATCTCCCATCTCGCTGCAGGCTTGCGGCTTGCAAAGCGTCGCTTCTTGAAATGTATAGCTTCGGGGACAATAGCAATGGGGTTGTCGCCCCCCAGATTGTGTACCTCACGAGCCAAACCCTTCAAGTTTGGTCTTGGTGTAGCAATCTTTTGCTTCTTGCTCGGCCTCAGACCTGATACGCCATCACCCAGGTTTAGCACATCGCGAACGTCGGAAGAGGTCATCGTGGAGGTTTGTCTTGGACGTAGGTTGTCGAAAAGCAAGAAGGACAAGTGTAACTGATCCAATAATCCGTTAAATTCGAGCTTCCATCACCAATGTCATCAAATTCAAGCACGGGGTCCACTCCTAACAATGATTCATCAGTCCGTATTTCGTTTATTGATGCTCTTCGTTGAGATCGAACCGCTGATGCTGGTTGACGCGTCTGAAAATTTGGGGTTGACTTGAATTAGTTCGGAGCACGGAGTAACTGCTGGGGATTACATGGTAGCAAGCGCCATCTTTGCCTGGAACGGGTTGAGTTATCGGCACGTGACAGTGCTAGATCACCCCTGGCCCAAAGCCGATCATTGAACGTGGCAGCTTCGCGGGCGCCAACGTCGAAGCCAGAGCCAAAGGGGGAACCAGTTACAACAACTTCAAGCATTGGACTTTGTCACATTATCAGATCGTTCTTTATTCCCATCAACGACGCTTTCCTTCAAGTGTCTACCAATCAACGACCCGTGCAATTCCTCAAGGACATCAGTGCTGTAGCTGTCGCCATTATGAAATTCCTACTTCCTCTCCTGTCGCTCGGCGCCGCTGCGAATGCGCTGCACTTCTTCATCGACGGCACAACCCCCAGATGTTTCTACGAGGAGTTGCCCAAGGATACACTTGTCGTTGGACATTACACTGCTGAGGAGTGGGATGACCGAGTATCAGCTTGGGTAAAGCATGACGGTATCAGCATCTACATCAACGTCGACGTATGTTTTTCATGGACAGCTGTCCACAAGCATATTGCACTGTCTCTCGGGCTTTTACTAAGAATAGGTGACAGGAAATATTCGATAACGATCACCGTGTCGTTTCTCAGCGCGGCGCTGCTTCTGGCCGCTTTACCTTCTCCGCCGCTGATGCTGGCGACCACAAGATCTGCTTCACCCCTTCGTCCAGCTCTGGCCGCACTTCGTGGCTCTCCGCCAAGAACCCCAATGGCGGCATCAAGTTGACTCTCGACTTGGTCATTGGTGAGACCAACCAAATCGAGAGCAGCGATAAGGGAAAGATCCAGGATATCACATCACGTGTCAAGGACCTCAACGCTCGTCTTGCTGATATCCGCAGAGAACAAGTATTCCAGCGTGTATGTGCCACCGGAAACATGTCTTTTTATGAGACCAGAAAGCTGACTATGTGTGCACAGGAACGAGAGGCCGAGTTCAGAGATCAATCCGAGTCTACAAACGCCCGTGTCATTCGATGGATCATTATCCAGCTCATCGTGCTTGGCATCACCTGCACCTGGCAGCTTTCGCACCTTCGGTCATTCTTCATCAAGCAGAAGCTCACCTAGAGTGATTGGTCGATCATTTTTTGTTTGCGAGTTGAATCTCCGACTTCAGGAGTCCAGAAACAGTCAATATGTTGTTTATTGGGTTGGGTGTCGATGGATTGCGTACCAGAAAAGGATAAAAGAGATCGTTGGGCTTTCAAGCTGCGGCGGGAGGTCATCATCCAATGATGATGGCCGTGTAATGTTACATGCACATGATGATGTTCACTATATCGTTTACTTAAATGCATACTCGAAAGGGTGGCTGAGGAACTGTGATAAAGATGGCGACGCCTTTTTCTTTTCCCATTATAAAATTGCCAAAAGAACGAGAACTCCCTATAGTGCTCTATCTTCGTTTCACAACAAATCACCAAGCCTGTAAACCTCAAACTCATCCCCACGCTAGCTGATCTCTCCATCTACACCAGGCAAGACTGGGTGCCCTCAGGCACATCGGCAATGGCTTTCGTCTCGTGTGCGATTACACAAAGTTATTATGGACAGCGTCATAAGAAAAAAGAGAAGAAACAACCCAAACAAACCCAAAAATGCTGCCCTGCACCGTCTCCTTGCGCCTTGCTGCGCTGCGCTGAAGATTAAACGTGGTTTTAGTATATTTCGTAATGGTTTGTCAGACAAGAGAAAGGAGTGCCCTCCGCCGTAGTCCCAAACGAGATCTGCTTCCGCTCCAAGGAGTGTCATGCAAGTATATCGACTGCCAAGAACGGTTCGTAGGCGGCCAAAGGCTCTATAATGCCGAGATGATGGGTTCGTGTTCGAAAACAGAGCGCTTCTGAAGGTGACCAAGATGCATGGGCGAAAGACCTAGACTTCGTTTGTGACTCGAACCAACTCGGTCGAGGTGAGCTCTACTATGCCTATGCATCCACCACCTCATCCATCTATAAACTGGACTGAGCTTGAATTGAGCAATTCAACCATCAACCGCGACCCGGTTCTGAATAAATCGGGTAATCCTCTTGAACCGGAGTCTGTCGACATAATACAGATCCTGATGCACAACGCCGCAGCAATGAAGAAACAAAGAAAATTCTTAGCTGTATACCAGAATAGGCTTACCCACAGCATAGGGTCTTCATCAACTTCTGGAAGCCACTGGGCTGAGGATTGGCCTGTTGGCCACTAGCCTGGGCGGCTTGAGTCGCCTGGCCTTGCTGGGACGTCCTCGGCTGCTGAGGCAGGTTCTGGGCACTGTTCTGGAACTGAGCCTGGGTCGAGCCAGTGGGCGTGGCCATGTCCCGAAGACCCCCAACCCCGCTCCCCCTCTGCGCTGACAAGGCGCCGGGGGCGCTTGGCCGATCTCTCTGCTTGCCCATCTGCTTGATCGGAGACGGAGGAGGGGGTTGCGCGGCGTTTAAACGGCCGACAGTAAGGTTTTGTGCTTGTTGGTGAGAGGTGGTATTCCCGGGACGGTGGCCGCTGTGCAGCTCCATCTGAGAGGGGCCAGGCCGCACATTGGGGTTGTGGAGGTACGCGCCGCTGTGGTTCTTCGAATCCCATCCCTTTCCCGAATCCTTCGAAATTTTCATCCAGTCATACTCGCCATCCTCAACCTCGCCAGTGTTCTTGAGAGCCTGTGTGAAGAGCTCCCGGAGGTAATCGTAGTCAGGAGTATCCTCAAAGCCAAGATTTCGGACATACGTCAAATATTTAGAGAATTCCTCAGGGAAACCCTCACAGAGATCCTTGATAGCAGTTGTCTGCTTCTTCTCACCAATCTTCTCATATTTCTGCTTGTTGGTGGCCGCCTTCAATCCCTGCCAAGGAAGACCACCTCGAAGAAAGTACAAGAAGACATGACCAAGAGCTTCGAGATCGTCTCGGCGGGACTGCTCACGGCCAAGATGGGTATTGATACTCATGTATCGTGCAGTTCCGGAAAGGGACTTTCGCTCGCGGTATGGGATATGTTGCTTCGTCTTCGGGTCACGGTACTGTTTGGCCATGCCGAAGTCAACCACATGAATCACGCTAGAAGCTTTGGTGCCAGGGCGGCCAATGAGGAAGTTGTCGGGCTTGATATCGCGGTAAATGAGATTCTTCTCGTGAATCGTCTGAACCCTCGAAAGCATTTGCTTGGCAACCATGACAACCGTCTTGATGGAGAACCTTCGGCCACAGTGATCAAAAAGATCCTCGAGGGAAGGACCGAGTAAGTCGATCACGAGAATATTGTGGAGACCCTCCTGGCCGAAGTAGTAAACATTTGGAATACCAGCTGAATCTGTATTAGCACATGCGAACTGCTTTGTTTTGGAACGGGTCTTCTCACGGCAGCCCACAAGGATCTTATAAGTCCGGTACTCATCTCGCAGTTGGGGGGCATCACTCTTGCGAGGTTCCTAATGCAATGTCAGAAAAGCCAACACCATGGCAGCGCAGAAACGCCGGGCTACTGCTGTACTAACAAACTTGATAGCAACTTGTTGATTGTTGAGTAAATTGGTGCCTTCAAAAATAACACCAAAAGATCCCTCTCCAATTTTCTTGCCAACTCGGTAGTGAACACCGACCACGTTGGATGATGACGAAGCCATTTAGGCGGCGAAGGCAGTCAGGGGACCACCGTTGCAAATATATCGAGACTGATGCAGGAGGGTCGGTCGTTTTGATAAGGGCGTAACTCGTGCTGAATGTCGAAACTGGTGCAATAGAACGATGCCTAAGGGGCGCGACGCAGGAGTTAGTTTTGATGAAACTGAATGATGGCGATGCAGCATGCACGCGAGTGAATGAAGGAAAAGAAACTGAAGCTGTGGCGCTGCTCGCGGTTGGGCGACTGAAGGATGAGGCGATGAATTGACCAAGTTGGGCAGTCCTGTTGGCAAGGTACTGGGATGTTGATTGGAGGCGCGGTAAAATAGACACCTCCAGTCCAAGGGCACAGCCGCCAGCCGCAGTAGAACCCTCCTAAAGGCGCCGCCGAGAAGATCCTTTTAGACGCAATGTATAAGAAATGAGGCCGATGAAGCGTTGCATACTCTGTAGGTATGCTGAAAGAGCTGGAATGCAACGGTTTGGCCAGAAAGAATTGGCAAACTGCTGCAACCAACCCGATATCCACGGCTCGGGAGCTGTCTCCCTGTCGGAGGAACCACAACAACGCTGAACAGACCACCTCCAGTAAATCGAAGTCAAAATCAAATTGACTCACCTCAATTAAAAGAAGAGATGCCAAAAAAGAATAGAATCAGGCAGCTCAGAGGCGATCGATTCCAGTCGAAAGGAAAGGCGGTCGAAGGGGAAAGCCCCAAGAGAGATCGAAGGCGATGTCGGTAACGTTGATGGGGAGATCAAGTTTGAGAAAGGGGAAGAGAAGCAAGAGATGGGACTGGGACGGGGAGAGAGTAGAAGCACCTGCCCCCAGGCCCCAAGCGCGGACTGGACCTGACCTGAGCCAACGAGAAGCCCCGGCCATCCAATCCAACGCCAGGCCGGGCTAGCCCAGGCACCTCACCTCAAAGAAATCAGCGACAACTCCACTGCTAGGGAACCCCCGGCCCCCAGCCACAGGCATGGAAACGCTACAGAAACAAGCGAAGGGGCCTGAAAGCATTCGCCAACCAGGAGTCGACAATCAATTTGGCTGCCAGCCCCGACTTCCAGAGGGTCTAGGCCAGACCAAGACCAGCCGGATTCAGTAGGTAAGGAGTGTCCGTTGTTTAAGGCTCAAGGTTCAGCACTGTGAGCATCGTCTGGGCTCCAGCCCATATAAAACTCAAGGATCATAGAGTAGAAGATATACATAGGTAGGTATTATCCTTCAACTCTTTAAAAGTAGGTACTGAATAACACTGTGCATTGCGGCTTGATTTGGGAGTTGTCTAAAGCAACTAACCCTTCCCACGAGTGTCTCTTGCAGCTCTAGTTCCCTTCCCTTGAGTCAATGGTATTGTTTCGCTCCCAAGCAAGGAAAAGCAACGATAGTCGCATCCAATCCTACCTCGAGTCGCAGGTCAAGAGACAATAGGCATGAAAAGTCTATTGCCAGCGGCGCCTTGAAGACCTGCACAATGCCAATGGGAATGACACGCAGCCGTCGACGTCAAGATGTCGGTGAGTAGTTGTTCAAGCTCATGCGTCTTCACTTCTGAAGCAGATGCTTCAATGAGGCCTTGATAGAGATGTCTTGAGGACTGGTCACCGAATCATTTACACCGTCCGCTCTTGGAACAACAAAGGCCTTGCAATGTGTATCATCACGACATTCGTCCCGTACAACTCCCTACCGCTCCGGGCGTCCGTCTGTGCTCTTGCAGGAGAATGAATGAAAGGACTTGACTCGGCGCTGGCCACTAGACAGTGGAGTACTCGGGATGCCCCAACGGCAGAGCCGGGGTACAAAACTCTACCTTGGCCCAAGGGCAATTTCCCAGCCTCGGGTCAGGTACTGCCCGGTACCTTGCTTTAACATTGGCCCTCCATCTGGTCTGTGATTTATCGACATGGGTTTGGATGTTGAGATTCAAGGTTCTTGTCGGCGAGAAACTGCTTCTGGCCTTTGTCACTCAAGACCCTGCAGCCGGTCAATAAACGAAGTCCAATTTCGAGCATGGTCAGATAGCAAATAGATCGACGACTTGTGCATGGGGAGCTTGTGCATCCTTGTGTATGCGTACATACATATGGACATGTGCTTCTACGTGTGTGCTTGGCACTATGTCGTGTATGTACAACACTCATCGTAGCATCGCATCAACAAAATGCCGCGCTTCTACTAATGCCCTTGACCGCAAGATCCGACATCCTCGACTATGTGCCTAGGTAGTGGATATCAAGGTTCAAGCTTCGGAGTCGGTCGTTCGTTTGAGATTCTTCCCTCCTGCTATTACAGTCCAGTCTAGCGATTCATTCGACCATTCTCCCTGCCAAAGGGTATTGTTAGTGTACATTTTAAAGAAAAGCATGCATCCATGACGGGACGCAACAAGCCACACCAAGAGTTCAGACGTTGCTAGCGCCCGTCCATCACTAGGCTGACCCATGGCACTTGGCTCATGGTGGAATAGTTCCGTTGCCCATCCATCCGGTCCAAATTCCAATCCTTATTTCCAGTCTTCTTTGCCTCACTTCATTTATCGTATACGAAGCAATGGATTTTGTATGCAATGTATTTTTGGGGCATTCTGCAGTGAATTGGTGCTCTGGGCTTTGTGTCCCCGTCCTACCACGTGATTCTCGAGCAAGCCCGTCTCAACCGTGAGATTAAATAGTTACCTACTAACCTATCCAATAAGTCACCACAAAACATGGATACATAATGCAGGTTTGCTAAGCTACCCCAGTCCCAGTAGAGCAACTGGCCCAGAAGAGAGATATCTTGACCAGGGGTCGCCGCTAGAAGCGGCTCTAATTCTTCCCTTGTTATGCCCTGTCGACCTGTCCTCGTCAACTCGGATCTCAACATAATTACATCCACATTTCTTTCCTCCTGTGTTGTGTGCCCCTTGTTGCGCTATCGAGCTGTTGTCTTCTGTCAGCTGTATCCGTACTCCGTAATTTTTCAGTAATTGCAGGTTCCTTACGAGTCAACACTCGCCACAGTTGCCAGCACACAATCGCTGCACGCGTAAATTTTTGCCACACCGAGCTCCTTCAATGACCCCTTGGGCGCTCAGTCGAGTGAATTATGTTCTAGTCACAACTGCTTTACGTGAAACTTCAGCGGGAATGCCCTCTTCGTCGCCTTGACTTGTGATTTCAACTAACCAGATACTCTTGCTATGTTTGGGCAGATGGCATGCTACATCGTAACATGGCCAGTTTGCCAGCTTGCGGACCGCAACATGAACCACATCGTGTTACGTGCTTGAAGCTGGGTTCGCCTCTTGAAGCCGTTGCCTGGTCAGTGTCACGACGTCAGTAAGTACTTCATGCCTACCTACTGATGTTTGAATGCCAAACTAGGTCCTAAGTACTCTGTGTGGCGTTGGCATTCCACCCAGAAGGCAGAATCTGGGTTTTGAAATTGAGACTCTCGTCATATGTGATGTTCTTTGTTTCCAGCGATCTAATTATTGTCTTCCTCTCTCCGCGAGAAACAGGCGTGTCACTCGTCACTCGGAGATTTGGTTTCCTCTTCCCTGCGAAATCTCCGAAATGCCAGCCTAGCGCTAACAAGACAAGTATAAATTCGGTTTGATCCAATTAGAAGCTAGATGTTCACTCTCGTTCGTACTTTCAGCTCAAGATTAGCTGATGACAATCTCGAAATGGTAAATTCATTCATTCTTGACAGTACAAATCTTTATTTGCTTGATTTCCGTGGTCACTTTAGGTGTGCTCGAGGCATTCGTATGCCATAAACTGTATCGTCTGTCTGATCGATCAATGCCATCGAGTCAAAGCATGACCATGGATGTGGCCTCGGTTCGTGGTATTGCCGAGTCAATCCATGAAGTTTAGTGGAAGCTCTCAACTTGTCATGTAAGAGCTTGGTTTCACGAAATAACATTTGGTCTGGCATCAGGTTCTAGACCACGTATTTCGGATGTGTTAAACTCCGTTCTATGCCAATGCCCAAGCCACTGGGTAGATTTTCGGCTGCCAATACATTAGTAGCAGAGCATGTCTATTGCCGTCGTGATAATGTGAGGTATTTTAGCGGTACAGGGTAACTAGGGTGAGTACTGGTTGATTGACGTGAGAAAACAGCGACGCCTAACGTTATAAGGAGCTAATATATGTATTGTTAAAAGGATTAGATCATCCATCAGTAGTCTCGATTGTTGAGAGGAAATGCTGTGTGTGTTGTTTGTTGTCACATGGTTCGAGGTATTGGCTCCAACTCTCTGGAATCGAGTTCACAATCAACCATCAAAAAGAACCCATAGTGAAGGATACCCCGCGTGAGACAACTGTCAGAAATAGGAAGGACACTCGGTAGTAATTATCGGTCTACCTCAAAGGGTTGTAGCTTGATTACTGATGACATGACAAAAAGGTCTAAATCCCGCCAAAGACAATGTGAGCTTGCACTGACACAGAAAACTGCAGCACTATCACTTTATACCACAACAAGCCCTTCCCTTTAGAGCCTAACCATCGAGTCATGGTCACGGCAATGGCTAAGCCAGAAGACATCCCCGAGATGGAGTATCGCTTCCTGGGCCGCTCAGGTCTTCAGGTGTCTGCAATCTCTCTCGGAGGATGGCTGACATATGGTGGCCACATCGATAAAGGTTAGTATCGAAAGGGACAGACTCAAGGAGATAACGACTGACTAGCTCTACAGAACGCACCTTTGAATGCATGAAGGCCGCCTATGACTGCGGTGTCAACTTCTTTGACTGTGCCGAAGAATACTCCAATGGTGAATCCGAGATTGTCATGGGCGAGGCTATCAAGAAGTTCGGTTGGAAACGAAATGATCTGGTAGTCTCTACTAAGGTAACCCGCCATACTTGTGCCATAGATGCACGGTTCATCATGTAACGATGCTAAGAAATCCCATATAGCTCTACTGGGGAGGCGCCTTTGGAGACAACCCCGTCAACAACAAGGGACTTTCGAGAAAGCACATTGTCGAGGGGATTAACGGTGCTCTCAAGCGGTTGGATCTCGATTATGTCGATCTCATTTACGCGCACAGGCCTGATCGTCGAACGCCCATGGAAGAGATCGTTCGTGCGTTCAATCACATTATAGATCAAGGAAAGGTAAACCCGACCATTTCACCTGCGGTGGCTGTATCTCGCGGACTGACTTAGCTGACAGGCGTTCTACTGGGGAACTTCGATGTGGAATGCCGATGAGATCGCACAGGCGTGGCGATATGCAGACAAACTGGGTCTGATAGGCCCAATTATGGAGCAACCCGCTTATAACATGCTGGATCGAGTCAAGGTAGAGCAGGAATATGCCCACTTGTATCGTGAAGTTGGTCTCGGTCTGACTGTATTCTCACCCATGCGTCAAGGTATCCTGTCTGGAAAATACAGTGACGGCATTCCTGGTGACTCTCGCTTCGCCAACGAAGAGATCAAGTGGGTCAATGGTTTCTGGAAGCAAACAGGGAAAGATACCTGGATGGCTATCATTGAGCAGGTCAACCAACTGAAGCCTATTGCGGACAGACTTGGTCTCAAACAGAGTCAACTCGCCTTGGCCTGGGTACTAAGCAATAAGAATGTCAGCTCTGCTATAATGGGTGCTAGCAGTCCTGAGCAGGTGTATGAGAACGTCAGAGCTGTGGCTGTTGTCAAAAAGTTGACACCGGAGATTTTGAAGGAGATTGATATGATTCTCAACAACAAACCACCTGAGGTTGTGGAGCGGTATTAGATAATTCGACTTCGCCATGGCGGTAGTACACGCGATGGCCGTACTCACAAATTGGGGAACATATTATTGCTCATAAGAAATGATTAAATCTCGGCCGAGTCTATCTTTTCATGTATGTACGTACGTAACGGCAAAGAGATCAAACAATACCAACTCACGGGATATGACAAATCAGCGTCAGCCGAGGTTACATCTCGGTTCTCTGCTGAGGATGAGTTGTAGCTGGAACCCTCCGTGTACATAACCCAATTGTCACCGAATCTGAAAGCTCGAGTTTATATCACCGTATCGGATTGTCGAAATGAGCTCTTCACAGCTTCTCAACCGTGTCCCTTGGGCGAAGAGTCCCCTCATCAGCAATGCGCCCATGCTCGGCATTGCTACGCCTCTCATGGCGGCTGAGGTTACAAGAGCTGGGGGCCTTGGTATTCTCACTCCAAAATACGTGATTCATACCATTCTAAGCTAGCCTGACATTCGACGACAGGATTTCTCCCCTCGCTGGCATACATCGAACCAAACTCGGAGCACATTAATAGACTTATTGGCCATTTTGATGAAGTCCGCCAACTTCTCGAAGCCGATCAGCCCTCTGATGGGCCACTCCGTGTCGGGGCTAGCTTCATAACAAGTCATAGCTCCTTGAGCTACTTTGAGGAGACGGCTCTGCCTCTCATAGCCAAGTATCGTCCTGCGGCAATATGGCTGTTTGCTCCAGATGGAGACCTTAGGCCTCATAGCAAGATAATCTCTAGCCTCAAGGCTCTGAGTCATCCCCCGATTGTGTTTGTCCAGGTCGGCAATGTTGCTGCAGCGAGAGAGGCAGTACAAGACGGTGCCGATGTGCTCGTGACTCAGGGTGTAGATGCTGGAGGCCACCAGTTTCGTCAAGGGTCCGGCATTGTGAGCTTGGTACCTGAAGTTAGAGATATGCTGGATAGAGAGTTTCCTGACCGACCAATTAGCATTGTGGCTGCAGGAGGTATTGCAGATGGGCGGGGTGTTGCAGGAGCATTGGCTCTAGGTGAGTACCATTAGTTGACACCATGGTTTGTTTAGAGAGACAGACTGATGAGATATAGGTGCCGAGGGTGTTGTTATGGGGACAAAAGTAAGTGAGAGCTGAGCCGGTTCGTGTTGCCTCTCAGGCTAATTTGCAGTTCACTATTGCGCCCGAATCAAACTATCCTGAGATACGAAAGAAGAAAGTCCTTGAGGCTGTGGATGGTGGCGTGTCAACTTTTAAGTATGGTTACGCTCTGACCCAGGGAACTAGCCTATGGTTGACATGATTCAGGTCCACGTTCAATGACAGAATAGTCAACAGTCCTCTTTGGGGGCCCCTCTACGACGGACGTGCTATTGTTGGCCCTGTCCATGAGAAGTTCCTCGCGGGAGCAAGCCTGGAAGAATGTCAACGGAGCCTCAAAGAAGATTACTCAGAGGAGGAGGCTCGTTATCTCGTTAATACCTGGGCGTGAGTAGTCTGTGCCTTGCAAAGTGTGTTTAAACTAAGATGAGCAGGGGAACTGGTGTTGGGCTTATCCACAAGGTCCAGCCTACAGGAGAGATGGTTCGTGAAGTACGCGAACAGGCTCGGCGTGAGCTCCAAAGAGCGGCCGGTTTCGTTTAGTACATGGACTTGGAAGGGGATCTTTGCCGCCGAACCATCAAGACAATCGAGGACATATGGGTTGTCTCAGTGTATAAAATGATAAATTGACACTGACGCAAATACTCCTCTATACGTTCGCATCCAGGTGGCATGGAGCGATTAGTGACAAGCAAGTTGATATCATACAAAAAGAAATAAAAATGCTATCCAGACGTCAGAAAAGCACGCTTCATCTACAGCTTGGCCTTGTCCTGGGCTTTCTTAAGCACAGGGTCAAGCTTGGTCGCCTTCATAACGTTGCCCTTAATCTTGAGCTTGCCGCCCATGAAGAGACGCTGAGCGTTGGCCTTGCCAGCGACGAGCTTGCCAAAGTTCTCCTCGGAGAGGATGAGTGTGACTGGAGGCATCTAGGTCAGTCATGTATGTGCCGAGTGCGCCGGAGCGCGCCAGAGTCGCGACGTACCATCAGGCTTTGCGCCGGTGCCAGTTCCGACCTTGCCGGTTTCCTTGAGGTCGATGTGCCAGCTGGCCTCATCACCGCTCGCGTTCTTGAGGGTGAAGGCGTAGACGCCATTGCCCTGCTTGATGGCGTCCTTGCGATCGGCATCGCTGGCGTTGATAGCCGCTTGGATGGCGTCGAAGGCGGCTGAGGCGGGGAACTTGTCTGTGGCTGGCAGTCAGTTTCCCGTGGTCTTCAGGGCGAGGAGCTGGGGAAGAGGGAGCAGCTTGTGTTCCCGGAACGCTGATCTTGATGGGGTGGCTTGTCCTGACGTACCGTTCTTGAGAGACATGGCTGCGATTAAAGGTTTGGTTTGGATAGATTTACAGGAGATTACCGTATGGAAAGAGATAGAGGAAACTAGTGGCCAGGTAGGAAGAAAAAACGAGGAAATCGTGGGGGACTCGACCGAGGTTTTTAAACGCGACAGATAGTCGTGGATGGATTGAAGTTTGCAAAGAATCTGGGGGCGCGCTGCAACGTTAAATGATATTGCATGTGATGTGAACCTCGGCGGATCTGCCATGAGATCATCCACATGTCTTCTCCCCCACAAACTGCTTCACACAATCGGTTTAGACTCCACGCGGGGGTAGCTCCGAAACACTCAATGGCCGAGTCAGTCACCGGCAGAGGGTGACCACGTGCTTTTCTCCAATTCCATCCCATCCAAACCATTGATTAGCCCTGTTACGACCGATCAACTCGGAACCTAGACTCCATCTGTGGCTCAAATACGTGCGTGTGGTTATGAGGCTGACATGAGCGGAATCCAATGTCAGCTTATCATGACATGCCTTTCAGAATGATACTTGAGGTCCATTTACTACATACAGATCAATGTAGTCCTTTCCCCTAGACTATACGCTATGGGCGTATTGCCGACTTGGCTACTAACCCACCAGCCAAGACACTGTCAGCGGTTTCAAACCAAGTCGTTCGTTCGTTCGTTCCAAACAGCTGGGACCAGTCACTCAAGAGTGTGTGATTGAGTGGCATGTATTTACACGCGAGAACACCAGTTGACAGCTCACTTTTGTCTTCTGTATTGTTCCTAACTTCATATGCTACATTACATCTTATAGTTGCCATTCAGGCACGCCAAAATCTCTATGCTGAGGCCAATTTTCTGGTCTGGTTCCAGTGTTAGTCGTGCTTAGTGAAGACGGACGCACCCTCATGAGATGCACATACCTGGTCAGGAACAACACTGCCATGCGTCGTCTCCTTTCATCGATATCGTCAGAGGCTGTCAAACGCAGCCAGTCGCCGAGCCACCCCCGCAACTCAGTCTCGCTTTTCCCAAGTGTGTCAATGCCTCGTTCTGCGCATGCAATTCTGAGTTCCTCATAGTGCAGTCCCATGGGTCCACCATCCTCGACGATATTTCTGTCGTCACCCTCTAGATACGCCATACGATATCGTCCCTTGGCCTGCCACATGCCTGGTGGTAGGAAGCCTAGGCGATCCCAAATTGCACCGCTCAGATGCAAGCTCTTGAGGACGTGAGACCGAGCGACTGCCTGGGTGACGCGCGGGCTAAGGACACCATGAGGATGTCTCGCTTCCAACTCATCGAAAGCAGCCTTGCGACGTTGCTCAGCCTTTTCGAGCGCCGTGAAGATCTGCGTCGGTATCCTGCAAGGGTACGGTACTACACTGTCGACGTAGGCAACAACCAGAACAGTGAATTCCCCAATGACAATCAACATAAGCCCGAACAGAGGAAGTCTGATCATATCATGTCGTACCCTCCAGAGAAGAACCCAATCTGCTCTGGAAAACGTCTTTGGGACGTAGTGCGGTCTGAATATCGAGGGCCGGTCATCGACTGGAGTTCGCTGAAGCTTCTCGCGGAGGAGACGTCGGCTCGTCCAGACATTTTTTATGCCCCCCTTGTAGAATTTAAGATACCCCTTTCCCAGCTCGAAGTAGTATTTTATCGGCGACTCAAAGTCTCGGCGTCGAGGCAGCGTCAGCGGTGGTGGTCGCGTGACATCGGGGGGGTTGACCAGCGGATTCAAGCTCTTTGGACCGTCATTGTGGATGTGACGTGATGGGATTCGTAGCGAAGCTGGCGATTGTGCAAAGGAGATGGTCGCCAAGAGCGGCCAATGGCGTGTGTTTTGACTGCGCCCACAGAGTCGCCATGTTGCTCGAGAGCTCATGGTCAAGGAGTTTATGGTTGAGACAAGTCTAGGTATGCTGGGGATGGGCCTGACGGCCAAGAGTCGGAAGTTCCAAAATACACTGCGTCATTGGCCAGGCCAATTTGGCTTTCTTCCCCTACCTAGGTACCTTAGGTCCGATCGATTTTCAGGAACCATCATCAGAAAAGACAGTCCGGCTGCAGTTTCTCATTGGCTAGCCCACAGTCAGGAATAGTAATTTTGTCCTGGTATTGTATTGGTAGGTAGACTCCAATTTGGCTCTTGTCTCCTATTTCTTTGTCTTCAAACTGTGTCCCTTTGTCCCTTCGTCCCATGAGTGCAGCTTATGTGGATATCAATTCACAGGTAACCTACCTACTATATACTCCTAGCCAAAGGTAGTTCTCATCGCGTGGTAAATGACTGCCAGTGAATGACTTTCTTAACTTTTCCATCACACGTTTTACACTTATGGCTTTACTTTGGGATCATCTTCCCCAGCTCAACAACTATACTGCCTTACCCTGAAGAAGGTGCCTTACAGTATTAAAAATGCAGTAAAATTTCTCAGAATAAGGGAAAATCAGATCTCCTCGACCAGCATGGGTCGAGTGAAGCCTTCGGAAAGCCGAATAATGCCATCAGAGCCTAGAAGACTATGGACCCGTAGATGCCTGTATTATTAGAGAGTTTGAACCAGCTACCATCCTGCCTACCTATCTTAAATGATTGTAACTTCAGCTTCACTTTTCAACATACCTCTTATTACCTGGCCACTGGGTCTATCGGGCTTTACCCATTGAGTTTATATCTGAGCATATAGCTACAGAACGTATCAGACATGGTGATATATTTGAAGCTTGTTATTGAACTGCGATTTTGTTGGCTGAATTGCTGGCATCAAAGCCGCTAAAATGACACGCACATTTTAGCGGGGGGTATCAAATTCATCCTGGCGATCAAGTCCCCTCAACTCCACCGAATCTCTGATTATCAACTTCGAAATTTCTTCTAGAACATATTCATCTATATTCTCGAATCCCTCCAAACCTGCATTGATCCGTAGTGTCCCGTGGGGAGGAAGTTATCCGAAAGTTTCAACGGGCAAGATGGTTTGTTCACACTTTGGTTTTTTTCAAGTCGAGCATGGACACATCGTAAACTGATTCTGCTCCTGCAGGTTCACGCTGATGCATCGAATTTTGCCCACGGCATAACAAAGGAGGACGCCTACGAGCAAGTGCTCTGGCAGGCCGAGGGCCTGATTACTGACCAGCGTAACTGGGTTCGTCAAACAATCTCGGTCGCCGGAACTATTGGACTTACCCTCTAACTCATTCTTGTAACAGGTCTGGTATGGAGATTGAGAGCTCGCTGGTTCAGGCCATGGTTAACGGTCCAACAGTAACCTTTCAAATGCTGCTTCCCTATTGTGGCACGCATATAAATCTTTGGAATCACCGAGCAAGGATGTGAACTGGGCTGGTATGTCACAAACCCCAAGTCTCAGACACAACTAGTAACGACGACATGCTGTGTGTGTTCAACTACAGGCTTTTACGTCCTTGACAAATCATCTCAAGATCCGCAGCTCATCCTGGGGCCCTTCCAGGGAAAGGTTGCCTGCCAGACTATCAAGTTCGGCAAAGGTGTTTGCGGAGCAGCGGCAGCGACCCAAGAGACACAGCTAGTCCGAGACGTGGAGGAGTTTCCGGGACATATCGCTTGTGATGGAGACAGCAAGAGTGAGATCGTCGTGCCTGTTGTGGTCACCCAGGACGATGGTTCGAAGAAGCTGGTGGCTATCATCGACATCGACTGCGCTGAGCTGAACGGTTTTGACGAGGTTGACAAGGCCCATCTCGAGCAACTGGCAGCTCTCCTTGCCAAGAGCTGTGACTGGTAGCGATTATATACGAAAGCAACGAGATAGAACTACCAACGCCAAAACCGTGCTGGATTTTTCGTAGATGTTCCTTCTCCCTGTTTGGAATTGAGTATGTGTTGATTTGCGCCGCACCGTCATCATCGCTAACAATACTGTTGTTAACCCAATTCTGTTTCTTACACACTTGTATCGTAAACGGAGATAGTAGTGAAATACAAAACCCTAGAGAGCTACGGTATGACATATGCCTCTTGCATGAAACATAGGCATGCTGCCGTCGGGCGTAATTAGAGTGATAGATTTACTACTTACTCTGCACTCCGTAGTAGTTCAGGAGTTCATACTTGAGACAGTAGGGGTGTGACACGATGTTGTTATCTCCCATGGCAACAAGGTACCTACTAACGCCGCAAACATTCTGCGACATCAAACCCGATCCGGTATCAAGATGATGAAAGGCTGAAATAAGATGTTTCTAGCAAATTCAGCCAGCCAAGGAACAGGATGATGCAGAGTCTAAGTTAGTGGCATCAGCCAGCCAGTGGGTCATTCGGTAGAGCCGATCTCGCCAGGGACATTGCTCCAGCTGGACTCGAAGAGGTTGAGGACCGTTATTCCAACATCGAGAAACAACTAATGAAAGAGTGACATGCTCGTGAGGGAGCAGGGGTCTTTCAACGTCCAACCCATTATCCCGGTTCTGCTTTTGGGTTTACAGGGCGCCTCAGCGGTTCGCCCTTGGGCCCGCAGTCTAGATGGGCCTCTGGAGCGCATGATTATGCTTTCATAAGGTCCTGAGGTTTCCTGTTTGCTTGAGCGGGACTACTCGATTTGCAAAATCGATACATACGGTGAGCGAACTTGGTAGGAAAAACCAAATAACCAAGGCCGTACCGATCATGGTCTGAGCACTTAACCAAGGGATGTCAGGAGATCCTTCATCATTGTTCATCCAAGTTAGGGATACTTGTAACAATATGGAATGAATCGAGCGAGTGGAACGTCAACGTCAGCCTACGGCTTGGCAATCGCGAGTCCGAGGGAGTCTGCATCTGGAGGATTGGATGTACGCAATAACTGTGTGGCTGTGACCATGACTTCGCCAAACACGCGCGTACCATTTCCATTTTCTACATATTCCCGAATGTGGTGTGGTGAATGGGTAAAAGGCAGTGCAGCCATTGGAGGATCATGAGTTCAGCTCGAATGGTCCCTCCTAGGGCGAGGCGAGCTAGGTAACGTATTCAGTTGGAACCATTGGGTCTGCCCGTCTTCGTGCCTGTTCCTGGATTGTCCAAGGCACGGGAGCCACTTCACCTCAGTCATTCCGTCCCTGAATGATCCATGATCCCCTGAATCGGATGAGAGCGGGAGGTCGGAAGAGACATCGACTTGGACAGCATTGCATTGCATTGCATTGATACCTGTAGACTTTGCCCTATCATGACGCGACCTCACCGTCTCTGCTTGCCATCCGCCATCCAATTGTCACTATCAACAACTGCCAAGGACCCAATCCCCTGGACGCGCCAAAACTTTAGAACTCCCCTGTTAATCTGGGCATAGATTCCCTGTAAATCCCCCAGAGGTGTCTGGCGAATAAGCGGCTCTAGGGGCAGATTCACCCCCTGCAGCAGTTGCACCAGCCTCCCCGTTTCCAGCCCAAGCCCAGCCTCCCGCCAGAGGCTCCACTCGAATTGTTCCACAGAGCCCCACTCGACTACCGCTTTCGGCCCCCAACCACACGCAAGACAGACGTATACAACGTCTTGATAACCTGCTTCATCGCGTTCCTGTTCATTTGTCACAGAGAGAGAAGATTTCTTCCTTCTCTTGCTCTCAACACACACTCTCTTGAACCCCAAGGGCTTACTAACCTCACAGCTCCTCTACAACATTCTGGATTGCTCAGGTTCTCAAGAGCAATTCGGTTTGGTGCGGTTTCTGGTCGCGAGCAGCTCTATCTATCATTCCGTCATCGCTTCTAGCTACATTACTCGGCCTGTTTTGTTTTCCAGTCTTAACTCGATTAATTTCATACCCCAACCCAAACACTCCGGAGCGGAAAGTTCACTATTCGAAAGTTTAATTCCACCTCATTCTCGAATTCCTTCTAGCCTCGCCTGGTTCTGCCAGTCAACGCCTTCTGGTCTTTCAAACCTTACCCTTCACATTCTCAACTCTTTATTTGCTGGTCTTTCCGATATCTTTGTTCGATTCAATTTATCTACCAGGCGTCACCTTTGCTTTGCGCTAGTCCATTAGTCGTTCCTGATACCAACCCAACCAACTTTCGAGCTACCCAAATCAAGCTACCTATCTTTGGTCGATAGTAGCAATTGTTCATGTAAACAAACAAACCCGGCCTGGATTTAGCAACCACCTCATTCTTTAACCCTCCACTGCTATCTCTCTCGGGCGCCGGTGCGCATAGCTGTAATGGCAGCCAAGGTCAAGAATCTTATGAGCGCAGCGCACACTGCGGGCATCTTTGCCGACATTGCGGTGGACGGCCCAGAGATTGGAACCCTGGTCGCTATCGTCGATCGGGCCAAGAACTTGCCAAATCGCAAGACGATCGGAAAGCAGGACCCTTACTGCGCAGCCAGATTAGGAAAAGAAGCCAGAAAGACGACGACAGATGTCAGAGGTGGACAAACACCAAAATGGTAAGATCTAGCAGCACCGCGGAGCTAATCGAAGGCAAGTTAAGACTGATCGGTGCAACAGGGATCAAGAACTTCGTTTCACAGTCCATGACTGCCCGGATTACTACCAACTCAAGCTATCCATCTTCACAGACGATAAGCGGACAGACTTGATTGGAGAGTCCTGGATAGACCTCAGAGGAATCATCGTGCCCGGGGGCGGCCAAAATGACTTCTGGCAAACATTAACTTGCAAAGGCAAATACGCTGGAGAGATTCGAGTCGAAATTACTTTCTACGATACTCGACCAAAGCCCGACAAGCCCGCACCGAAACAAAAGCAGATAGCACCCAGCGAACCCGACCAGGGATCCGTTAAGCAAAGAACACCCGTTAAGAGACGTCCTTTGCCGTCCGATCCTGTTACTGGTGAGGCTCCAGCTGTGACTCCCCCAGCCCCTGTTCCAGCTCCAACAACAGCACCCCAAGCAGCACCCCTGGCGGCGCCTGCAGCAACACCTAATGGCCCTGATCACCGCACGCCTGTACGAACTCACGGCAAACAAGCCTCACACTCAGGAAGCTTTGTCCCAACACAGTCCCCTTTGCAAGCTGTCGAGTACAACACACCGCCGTCCCACTCATCGCGCCGTCACACGGAGCAATATCCCCCATCTCCACATGGGTCTGTCCCACAGGAGTATATAACGCCAAATCGTGAGGCACCCCGCCAGTCGCGGAGGTCGATGATTCCTTACGAGGGAGCTCACCAGCAATACGATGAGCGGGAGTATAGCTCAAGATATACACCGCAACAAGAGCTGATGGACCCTCGAGTTCAATACTCTCCTCAACCAGATCAGATGGATCCTCGAGGCCATTACTCTCCCCAACAGGACTCCTATCAGCAGCCTCCGCCATTAACGGATGATCTCAGGCAGTACTCGCCAGTAGAGAATGAGCGTCCTCCACCACCACCCGCCCACAGGAGCAGACACAACAGCACAGGCCGGGAACTTGTGCCAAGAGGAAGCTTCGATACGTCACCAAACAAGATGCCACAGATGAGACATGACGTTTTGAGACATGAAGCTCAGAGACAGTCAATGGTGGCTTATCCTGGACGCCCGGCATTTCGGGCATATGATTCAGCCCCGGCTGCTAATCAATCCACCCCGCTAAACACAAACACCTATGATGGCTTACCGAGACATAGCTCTTATGACGCCAGTTATGATCCTCATTACAGATCTATGCAGCCCACAGTTGAAGATGTCCCTGAAGCCTCAGGTCCACCTGGTCAGAACTTTGCCCAAAATGGCTCACAGTTCCAGCGTTCCGATGAGCTTTGCTTCGATGACAACCCCAGCCCTGCACCTCTCGTCCTGCGGCGATCTCCTGTTCCTGCTTCGGCCCCATTCCGGGACGATTACTCGCCATCGCACGCCCCCCAAGATTACCACAATCCTGAGGACTGGCAGGTGACAGTGTCACCATCTCATGGTCGAGGCTATTCGAGAAACGCTGGAGATAATTCCTATTATCCCCAGAATGGCCAAGGCCATTACCAAAGCCACTCGACTGACATGACTGTCGCGCATAGGCAAAACCCACATAACTATGCCCCGCCACCTCTCCCAGCAGCTCTCGTGCCGGGTTTGGATGCAAACCAGTCTCAAGAATTGACAGATCTCATATATGAGGACCGCCGGCATGACCGAAGGCAGCATTCTCAGAGCATGTCCAGCATGCACACGCCACCTCGAGGACGCCCGAGGAACGAGTCGTTCCAGGAATATAACCAGCCGCCACCCGAGCATTCTTATGCTGTTCAGCCGTACAACCGACGGGCAATCACTTACAACCCGCCGGAGCAACAAATGGTGAAACCTCGCGCCATGTCGCCCGACCCACGCACAAGCCCCAACACACAGCACAGGATCAAGCGTAAATCGGTCAGTCCTGCGCCACAGCTTGAAGATCAGAGGAGAAAGTCAGATATACCTTTTGGACCTGACTCATATGATGCATTGAACCCCAGCCTTGTTTCGTCCAAAGACGGAGCAAGCCCATCACCGGATTTCTTGGACGAGGAGCCAAAGAAAATCATCACATACGACGGACGGGAGATTGATCCTTCTGACCATCTTCCTATGGAGACATGGGCCCCTGAACCGGAGAAGAAGCAACCGGAGTCTACCCCCACCGAAACACGCTCGCGACCTCCGTTATCAGGGGCACAACCAATGCCTCCAAGCACTCGAAGGCCACCTCGAAGTGGGCGTCATTCGATGTCCGCTGTCAACCCGTCTTATTCATTCTCCGACGAACCACGCACACCTCCACAGGCTGGTCGCACACGTCTTCAGAAGCGCACTAACCGCACTTCGGCTGGCAACTCCCCAGCAGCCTCTAGTCCACTGGCTCCAATTTCTAAGGATAATTACCAGGAGAGGGCTCCATATGGAAATGCTTCACTTCGCGGCCTACCCCGTGCAGGAACATGGGACTTTGAAGATGAGAATCGGGGTGCATATGGTGGTCCTCCCATTCCAGCCAAGATTCCTCTGCCCATGATGAGCGGTGCCAACGGCACAGGACAGGAGTTAGCATTAGTGCAGGAGATGCAGCGAATTGATATTGGGACAGGCAGGTCCCGACGCAGGGGAGGATATTAGTTCAACAAAGGTAACGAGACCTAGAGGGAATGTATAATATTATATCCACGGTGGTAATGATTTCGGCGTTGGAATAAGGCAACACTTGGGAGGGTGCGTAAGGTAACGTTGGAGTCTTGTGCATTCATATTGAGAAAATTGTTCAAAATTAGAAACCAATTCTCATATATACCATTAGATTTATTTCATTCGATGGTCGCCCTCGCTGCCAAGCACAAGGACTAGGCTAGCCACATGATATGACAAAGTCTGATGATGGATTTCCTGCTGAAGCTCCATAAAAAACACCTCAGGGTACCCAAGGTACGATATCTATAATACCTTTAGTTACTTACTTACGTTCTCTCTTTTAGTTGACAACGTATCTTCACTGCATGTACTTGGGCGTTTTTTGTCAGGGGATAGTCTCAAAAGAGAATTAATTGTATGGGTCTACGAGCAGTGGAGCTGACGCTAGGTAAACGATGTTAACCAAAAGGGGTTAGCAAAAGCTCTCAAGTACCTAGGTACCTAAGCCATCAGAATTCTTTATCTTATCAGGTTCTGAAAAAAAATCATAGCGACCTTCGAGGCAGTTGAAATCTAAACACCACCACAGTGAAAGCCCGTCATCGCGATACTCGACAATGGCTGCTCAGGTGGGACCTCTGCCACAGCTTAAGCTGCCTTCGGGCCCTACGCCAATCACTGCGGAACAACGATACTGGAAGACCTTCAAGAACCAACTTCTGATCCCGTCACCAACATCGTATCCCGTCGTTCACATCTCGGCCAATAACGATTCTTTCGCAGTCACCACAGGCACACGCATTCAGATCTACTCAAATCGGACGCGCAAGCTTCAAAAGACTATTACACGCTTCGGCGACGTTGCACGTAGCGGTGAGATCAGGAAAGATGGAAGGGTACTGGCGGCTGGTGATGATACGGGAAAGATTCAAGTCTTCGATGTCAATTCTAGGGCGATCCTCAAGACATGGACGCAGCATAAGCAGCCAGTCTGGACAACCAAGTTCTCACCGACTGAGCTGACGACCTTGCTGAGCGCAAGCGACGACAAAACTGTGCGACTTTGGGATCTCCCAAGCAACGACCCGACCACTACATTTGTTGGTCACTCAGACTACGTTCGATGTGCGAACTTCATGCCTGGCACTATGTCCAACATGATTGTCTCCGGAAGCTACGACTCGACCGTCAAGCTTTGGGACCCCAGGGCAGGAAGCAACAGTGCGGTCATGACTTTCAAGCACGCTGCGCCTATTGAACACGTGCTGTCTATGCCTACCGGAACCGCAGTGCTTGCAGCTGCGGGTGAATCGATCAGCGTTCTCGACCTTGTTGCCGCACGCCCTCTGCACATGATTACCAACCACCAGAAGACAGTCACTTCTCTCAGCCTCGCGTCCAATGGCCGACGACTTGTCAGTGGTGGCCTTGAGGGTCATGTTAAAGTCTTCGAAACGACTGGATGGAACGTTGTCTCGAGCACCAAGTATCAATCTCCCGTCCTGTCTGTCAAGGTTATCCCGTCCAGTGATGATACCGATTCAAGCGACCGACATCTAGCAGTTGGTATGCAGTCCGGTGTTCTTAGTGTGCGAACCCGCCTCACCGGAGCCGAGGCCAACAGAGAAGCCGAACGGGAGAAGGAAATGGCTGCTCTGGTTGCTGGGACCATTGAAGCCCATGACGCCAAACGTAAGAAGCGGAAGAGGAGAGTTACTGCTGCAAAGAAGTTGGATATGGTTGGCGAGGGGGCCGATGTTGTCATCGCCAACGAGTCTCGCACGTACAAGAAAAAAGAGCGCCCGTGGCAGAGTGACCTGCGACATGCTCGATATGCGCGTGCACTCGATCAAGTCCTCGACAAAGACTCACCTGAGCATTCCCCCCTCAACGTGCTCACCCTACTCCTGGCCCTCCGCCATCGCAGCGCTCTCCAAGATGCCTTGGAGTCTCGAGACGAGCACACAGTTCAGCCCATATTGAAATGGGTTTGCAGTCACATCTGCGACCCCCGTTATGTTAGCGTCTGCGTAGAAGTCGGTCTCCATCTTCTCGAGCTCTACGCAGAGTTCGTGGGTGGTTCAGCAGAGCTGCATGAAGGCTTTAGGACTTTACACCGCCGAGTTAGGGTCGAGGTGGAGAGAGCCCAGGTAGCATGCCAAACCGGGGGTATGCTTGAGAGCCTAATGGTCGGGACGCTCTAATGGACAGGCACGAAGCGTGTGGTATTATATCCCGAGGTTGCTGGGCTCAGTTTGCATTGCGCGTGGCGTTACGGCGGATTAAAATGGGAGTATTTGGATGTGAACTTAGTACGAGGCCTAGGCTTGCGCTTGGAAGAGCGGCCGAAAGATTGAACGTTAGATGTGTGAGGTTGATATTCATGGAATCGCTATATCTACGCCATACGACTTATTCACTCTGGTGCACACCGCGCCTAGATATCCGATTTGGTTTCATCACATTCAGTTTCTTGTATGTGTATGTGTTTTGAGTACTGTATCTGTTTGCCATGGGCATATGTAACCACATTTATCCCTCAAGAGACCGACCATCTTTCAATGGCTTTATCCCCAAGGTCAGGCCGTGCTCAAAGTCAGAAGTTTTCTTATGCTCCGGGTCCCAGGCAGGTAAGCAAGGGAAAGGACCAACCTAGTAGTTATTGGAATAACATATTTGCCATGTTGTATCGCTGGCAAGCAAATGCCCCCTAACTTTACGAGGCCACTTCTTCCCCACTTTCTTCTTTTTATTTTGGCCTCTGATATATTCTCACTTGTTCATATCTTTTCTTTTCTCTATTTATGGACTGATCTCTCAAAGCAAAACATCCAGCGTCCTCGTTGCCGTGGACCTTTTGAGGACGGCATAAAGATCCTTCGAAACTCGTACCTGGAGCAGAGACCTTTTGCACTCGGCAGTGGGGGATTTACTGGACAGGAGCTTTTTGTGGTCCATGAAGAATTGTTGATGCGGTAATGCCTCGCTGAGGCGATACTCAATTTCGATGGTAGGATTTCCTCGAAACGCTTCAAGAGCACTATCTGATCTAGCACGAAAGGGGGGCTCTTAGCTCTTGCACGCTTTATATGATGCGGAGTAGTTTCTCGATAAATCCAAGCGGAGAGATCGTATGATTTTGGTGTTGTCTTCTCCAGAAACCTTCAGAATATCTTTGCGCATGCTATGCGGATGATGACAGGGAAGCGAGTCCCCAGCAGGCTATTCGTCTACAGCATATGATACGACAAGTCATTACAAGCAGCAGAAAACATGCTGCTCTGATCGATTCCGTCACCTGGAGAAGCTCAAAGGTGAACTAACAGAATCGCAATGAGAACAATGGATCATACTGATACTTGGTAAGTGCTCATGTATTTCCGGAATGGGATGCAAAACTCATCCCGAGAACTCTCAATCGATGTACCCTTCAAAGCAGGTTGGCCATATCACTCGCAATATCATCACGTCTTCCGTGCCGCTGAAGAGAAAGCCTCCTCTGCTTGGCGCAACAGCGACACGAAAATGGCCAAGACATCCGCTGTCGCTCAACAGGTTCTCGATCTTTTCCAGCATGTCCATGGCAACAAGGGCTTTGGCGTTCCTGGCATCAATGATCCGGTCAATGAACCAACTGTGGTTCCCATCACGAAGTACAACAACCCGGCGCCTAACGGGTACCAGAAGGCACCGAAGTTACAGTCCAAGGTTGGCCAGTTGGGCTCGAATCCACTCCTATTACTGCAAAGTTTGCTTGGACTGCAGGCCAGAACAAGCTGGCAGACGATGCTGCTCGCCGAACATCCAGGGCCCGCCCTGACAAGGTGCTTGCCTGCAGCCTGCCGGAAACAAGAGTCTGGCAATCTCTGACGTGTGATCGACGCGGAGCCTGTTGTGACTCAGACCCGGGGTTACTCTATCGCCTCTAGAGTCGACGTGGCAATGGCTCACCATCTCGATACCTTCAGAGCTCGCCAATTTGAAAAACAGCCATCCGGTGCGTGTCTTTACATGTCTCTCTGAGCTTGCTCGTGACATCGCGCACGCTGACAAGCAAACTTGGTAGGGGGCTATCGCAGCCTGGAACGAGATGAGGAAAGATCCCGATGCCTTCGCCGTCAACTGCGTCAAGCATAAAGCAGTGCCCCGACAAGTTTGTCGCTCGCGTCCTCCTTTAGAACAGAGAGTTTGCAAACATGCAACAGTATCTAACTCTATTTGCCATCAAATCTGCCATTCAGTTCAGAAGGTGGAGCAGAAACATCATACAATATTTATGATAAAGCTGTCCCAAGGCTATCCTAAGGCGATCATAAATTTATGGCTTTTAGGATCCTTCGGATATGAACCCCATCTATTTTCCTGCTGAACCTCGCTCTCCCGCGATAATCCGGATTGGAGCGCTAGCCGGCGTCTGGCAGGAGGACTTGGACTTGGATAAACGCAAAACATCATCTAAGCCGCCAACGCGACCGTGAGTCTCGATCTAGCACCCCTAATGAAGTCTGGCAGCATACCTTGGCCGATTCTTATTTGTCTGATCCATTCCAGGGGTAACAAGGGCCAGAGAAGGGCCAGCGAATGGCACGGTGAACTACTCAAGCAAGACGAAGCTCGCAAGAAAGGTCAACCGGCATATTACACTGTTACTATTAACAAGGCGTTTTCTCTGCAGTTCAGCTGGAAAGATGCGAAAGGAAAGATCGGTGCCTTTGACTAGGTTAAACTCCAGCCTGACTGGGACATGACTCAAGCCGAATTCGAAGCCAAGTTCAGACACGATTTATACTGGGGGAACGCAATGAAGTCTTCCAACCGCGACCTTACTATCGCTACGGGTCGCTCCATGCTACGAAAGTTCGCTGCGGCTAAGGCAAAGGGCTCAGCCTTCCGGCTCGGTGGCGTACATCTGCTCAGGGGCCTTATGGCGAAGCTGCTGATCCGGGATGTCGACGATGCCACAATCGCGAAGATTGAGGCATATGGAGCGATGTGCGCGCAGAGAATGGCCGCTCCTTGATCACTTGCAGTCCCCTTCACTTGAAGTTTCTGATACTAACGAATGCTGGGTTTGACATGACTGGGAAATGGGTTTATTGGTTGGTATTACAGGGAAACTGACCACATTTGAGATTTGAGACTCGGATTTCTTTTTCTGTTTTCTGTTTGCTGTTTTCTTCCTTCTGTTTGCTGGGTTTTGTTTCTTTGCGATATCATGCTTCCGGTTAAAAGGAAATGGGTCGAAATCGGGTTCCGTCATTTGGTGTTTTGGGCAATTTCACAGGAACGACAAAATGGGGCAGCACTCATTTCGGGAATGGGAATATCACTTCGGGTAGCATTGAGAATCAAAGGGTTGTTAACGACTATAAATTCCAAGACCATAATACTGACTGCTGTCATCTCAAGTGGCATAGGCAAATACATGCCTTGCCTACCATGCATGGCGTTTGTACATCATAGTCAGGAGATGAAGCACTACGTGTACAATATGCAAAAAAAAAAAAAAAAAAAAAAAAAAAAAAAAAAAAAAAAAAAAAAAAAAAAAAAAACTCATACATATCATGACAGTCCATCTGCCCTTTACCAGACACCATCGTCAGCTCCATCGTCGCCCGCCTGATCATGCTCGTCAGTCTCAGCATCCTGGACGTCTTGGTCCTTCTTGACCTTACGAAGCCCTCGCATAGCATTGCGAAAGGCCTTGCGCATAGCGTCCTTGTGTTTGTCGGGCCTAGCAAACGCTTCCTCACGAGTGGTGCTGTTCTTCTTGGATCGCTTCGAGTCGGAGAAGTTGACACGTGGAGGGTTGAGAACATCTCGCTGAATGCCATCGTCAGCAGTGATCGGTTCGGATGCGGATGTCGAGATCGCGTCCTCCTCCGCGCGAGGACAGTTGCGAGTCGCATGGGATGCTCCATCGCACCGAACACACTTCGGCTTGAATTTGCACTCGGTAGCGATGTGACCGGGCTGACAGCAGTTCTTGCACATAAAGTACCAACGGCAGCGGTCCCTGAGATCGATGACTGCACTTCGTTCCTCGAGGAAAGCAACGAGGTGGTTCAAGGGCCACTCAAGGGGAGTCCTCTTGCCCGGACCAATCGCGGATTAGCCAAGACGAGCGCGAGTCGTAGCGGCACTCATGCGAGGGGCCTCGTTGATGAAACCCTTCTTTACGGTGCGCACCAAGTCGAGGATGACGACATCCGCTTCATGACTGGGTGAGTCGTCAACAGTTTGGACTTCAACCAGATCCTTAGGGACTTCGGCCTCGGTCAATTGTCGCAGCAAGAGATCATACAGACGTTTCTGTTCTTTGTATGGAGCCAGGATGAGAACAGACGCGCGCTTGGAGAAGTCACGAGCGTCGACGAGAGCTGCATCTCGATAGAGCTGGACGACGAGCTGCACCGTGAAGTTGGCCTTGGCATTGGCGGGGTTTGAGATGCTGTTTCCACCCTTGGACTCTTCAGCGTTGTCAGGTCGAATCAACAATGTCATCGACAGGCAGCCCCATGAAGACACTTGAGAAGCATCTGTCAACATCCAGAGTGCCATCCATACAACTGTATATTTAAGCGAGTTGAGCCGAAAGTATCAAGTTTCATTTGCACCTCCGCACGAAGATGGACAATCCAATTCGTAGACTCTGGGGCTGGTCACTTTCATGGAGATCCTTGAGAATAATTATGATTTGTGCTCTTCTGTCGTCGCCCGCGAAACCAGGGGTGTTTTATTTGCCTCTTGAGCCCACTCGATCATACAGAGTTTCTCGAGTTCTCTGAGGATCACCGCCTTGTGGGCATGACTGGATTTGACAAGGACAGTACTGTATGTCAGGAACTCCTCGTCAGAACCAATGTCGTTGAAATGGCTCGAGACGTCGTCTTCGATAGTTGCAGCTTGTGATCTTTTATCAGTATTGGACTGGCGTGCAACTTAAAGGCGGCCAGTTCCATCAGAGTCATCATCACGATCATCTTCCTGGTCTGGCATGTAGTCATCATCCACACCATAGTTGACAGTTCTCAGGATAGATCACTGAAGCTCGCACGGCTAAAGAAGGCAGTTTTGGCTGCCATACGCCAGGAGAGATCGGGATCTGCTTCTTGAACTTGGTTCTTATGAACTGCGACCGAGATCTTCAAATGAGATCGATAAAGACTTAGTCAGCCTCGGGACTGAAAGAGTCATCAATAATGGTACGAACATCGACGAGTGACTTGGGAAGTTCAGCGGCTGTAACCTTATCCAACAAGTACTGGTATTTGTTCTTCTGCGAAGCATAAGCTGTGAGGACAAGAACCGAAGCTCTTCGCGACGCGTCTCGCACATGGATGGGATTTGCCTGTGGAAAACTGGATAATCAGCTGGATGACGAAGTTGGCGTAGCCCTCATTGTAGTATGAGGTGCCACAGACTGTCTCCGAACAGCTGCCGGGGCGAATTAGGATGGTGGATGACTTGGTATGGAAGCGTACAAATTGTTTGTCTACCCAGTTCATGAAGATTCGAGTGGCCGGGGTGTTGCTACGATTCGCCAATGTCATTTGGTCGCCCCAGGGGAGGAAAGAAAACACAGGACCTCGATCCTACGGGACGTTGAAATAGCCGACCAAATGAATCGATCCTAAGTAATAATAAGACTTAGGGTAATATAGCCTAAGTTTAGGATGACTTTTGCTAAGTTTATTTTGACCCCCCACAGTAAGGTTCGCTGTTTTCTTGCCCCCTGAGGTCGCGGTAGAACATGTTCTGAGCCAATTCATGTGAGTGGACGTATGCACGGTAGTTTCGGCGCAATCGGAAATGAATTTGTCCTGCGTTCTCCATTCGATGGAAGAGGATGGTCTTTCTCTGTAGAGAGATGACTGCTTTGAAATCCTGCTGGTCGACGGTAACAGCGATGGGCGGGAGTTGTTGGATATCACCGATGTATATGGAGCAAGCAAATTGCCACTGAGCCTGCACTGCGAGTGACAAGTTTTCGGCCAGCTGGGCAGCTTCGACGACAGCATTAAAAGTCTCGCCCTCCTTGACTAGCAGACACAGAGCGTCCCAAACCCACGAGCGCAACTAGGGAACACAGCCTTGAAGCCCTTTTGGTCAGTAGTCAATCGGGGGTGGGGGTTGGGGGGTGCTGGGCAGTTTGGTGGAGATGTTAACAAGTGAGAGGCGTCAACACCTCACGGATATTGAAGTTGCGAAGAGGAAGGAACTCTTCATAAAACGATAAAAGGGCTTTGCTTGTTTCTAGGTAGCCAGTTTTCACAAAGACAATCTCATCCTAATACCCCGACGGCCATCAAAAGGATCAATTTGATGTCGTGGCATAGTCATAACCAGCAACACACCTCCCCACAAACACAAAAGTATGCAAGGAGGAAACATTCTTAGTATATAATCCAGGGGGTCCTCTCCATCTGACTTCATCTTAGCAAGTTTCGGAGCATTTTATATATACATATACATTATTCATTCTGCTTGACTATCATCAGCTCGCCAACCACCCGCCCAATAAGGAGAAATGGCCATATTAGAAGAGAAATGTCTGCAAGCATTCGTTGAAACAGCCACTGAGCCTATCTACCATCTCCTCAAGGGCCTATCTACCAAGGCTGTTATCGATCTACTAGATCAGCCTCCTTCTGTTCAACGTGCAACGACTGCTGAGACACTGGCGGTAGAGCTTCGACGCCAGACATGGGAAGACGATCACGTCTGGTACAGACGTCTGAGCACTTGGGTTCGTGAGAATTCCACCATGGCCGTCTCTGAGGCTCGCTCGGATAGAGGACATGCGTTTCTCGCAATTGCTCTGCCCCTCCCTCCCGGTACGCATTCCAACCTGGCGGTCTACTATCTGCATACCGGTAGACAGGTCAACTGGCCCCCAGGCTTCTCGAAGCCCTACCTACCTAGACTTCCAAATGAGGACTTTGATACCATCTGGGCAAATCCACAATTTCCTCAATGGTCTGTTTACTGCCGGCTATGATGACAAGGAAACCAAGACCCAGGTTCCTGCGACTATTGCCGTGCCAAATCATCCTGGAATTGAGGTCAATTTGTACCACCGCCCTGATGATACAACAGCGCGTACCGAGTGCGATGCGATCACCAACATCAATGCTCGCGCTGAAGCAGTTGATGAGACTGTTGTTGGTGGCTTCTGGAAGTGTAGTCATAACTTCCACTGAGCCTCAGATACTTAACTTTCACATCAGGTTTCCTGGCCTCACTCGTGCTTACCTTGAAGGAAAATTTGATGATGAGGTTAAAACTCTAGTGGAAAGCCTCAAGGAGACTCCATATGGTTACCTATGCGTTTGTCACTGGTGGTCCTGACTCAGGAAAGACTACCACTGCCATGAAGCTCGTAACTGCTATCGTTTCTGGCGGTGTTGGCGAGACTCGGCAGCATGAACCCAAGCTCACTGTTTGCTGTTGAGTCTGATCCTGTTACCTCCGACAAGCCTGAGTCTGTCACCTCCGATAAGCCTGAGTCCACTGGCTGGTTGGACGTCGATGATGACGACACGTGCTCAGAAGCTTCCTTCTGTTCAGCTGTCTCTCACCTGGCTGTTGGTCCTGGTGCTGATAAACTTGAACAGGATCACATCACTAGCGCTCATTCATTTGACATCTGTGATGACACCACTCTGCCGTCGAGCTACCGCGTCCTTCCGACCGGGAGTCGCCGTGACCTCGAGTGTGGGTTGTACGCTCTAATCGAAAGAATGCCACACCAAACTCAATTGATGGCCTTCGGTCTATTGTCGATAGCCCAGACTATACCCAGATTATGGCAATTTCTCAGGGGAGCGGCTCATCCAATATGACGGGTATGGACTTTCTTTCGGTCCCAAACTCTGGAGCGAACATGAAGGCCGCCTCCCACTCCAGCCCGCGGTTATGATTGATGAGAATCGGCCTGCCTCAATGTCCATCTTCGCATCGCCGATTCAAGACCGCTCCGAGCAAACCTACAAAGAGCAAGTTTTGGTTGTCTGCCGACCATTCCCCCCCACCAATTTCCGAAATCTGTTGACCGGTCACAGCGAGACCTCCAATCTTTGGGATTGGAGACAATGTTCGAGCCCTCGTCACATCGTTGTTGAGCACCACAACCCCAACGTCGGTCGGGGCAAATGCTTTCGCTAAGGGTGAGTCTTAGGATGAGCCTTAGGATAAACTTATCATAAACTTATCATAAACCTATAATGAACTTATGATGAGTCTTATGATAAACTTATGCTCCCGCAGTTTACCACCCGGGTAATCTTTCCTCACACATCTGATCCTATCTAGGTACTGCAAGGTCACATATTTCTCTTTTGTCAAATTCGAGCCAAACCCCTATATATAATCTACAGCGGTACTGCTTTCTCTCATTTTCAATTCCTTTTTTCTGGAGGAATAAACTGAGCAGCAGCTGTATCCGAACCAAGCATGCACCGCCATCCCCCATCATTTCCATCAGGAACATACAGTACGTCAGATGCCGAGACTGGACGAAGCAGAGACACAATGTTCGAATAGCTTCGCCAAAGCAACGCAGCACCCCAAAACGCCTTAAGATGCCATATTACGATAACCAGTGCGTGCATTCGGATGTGATGTATGAGAGTTCCTCGCCGGTCGTCAATTACACCCTCCCCTGAGGAAGTCCTCAGGGGTTGACGGCCGGATTTTTTTATACACCTGCTAACAGCCGCCAGCTGCCCAACAGTGTCACACACCGAAGCCTTCAGCATTCTCTCACCTTCACGTTGCCTGAGCACCGCGTTGTTTAAAACCGCGTTCCTCTTGCTTCTTCGCCTCTCCTCTTCTCCTCACCCGCGCATCATCATCGCTCGCGTTTATATATAATTTCACAACGCAAATCTTTACTGTGCATCACTATCACTCTGCTTTACTCTATAATCACTCTATAACCACTCTGTTTTACTCTGCTTCAGCATCTGATGTCAACCGCTCGTGATTCTCTCGCGATGTTCCGATGTATCACTATCCCCCTCCTCCCGAGGATCCGGAGATGAAAGCCGCGTGTCTCCAGGCAATTATGAGAGACGATCTCATGGATCATTGCCGCCGTCCAAGCTTCAATATATACAACTCACAAAAAACTGTGTGTTGAGCGCCAAAAAGATCGGAGATCTGATTGTGCAGATTGTCAAAGACGCACGTCAAAAAATTCGAGTTCCACAGACTGGCTGCAAGCGACGTATGTCTGTATGTGCTGTGCTCATGGAACACCCATCCTTCGAAAAGCCTCTCAGACCTGCCCTGCATGGACTTGATATCGGCCGGTTGACCGAGAACAAGAAACAACGAAACCACGTTCAGCATGAAGGCTCAAGCCACTGGCTGGTTCCATCTTCTCCTCAGTGTTCATGGCCAGCTCCTCCCTGGCTTCCATGCTGGTACCGTCGCACGCTTTGGTGTCGGACCTTGTGCTGGCCTAGTTGTGCATCTTGATATCACAGTCGGAAATTATCGTCAGCCACACACGCATTTCAAGTTCACCATCCGCCATGGTCGTCGATCTGTGCCTTTCATGGACCTGATCGTCCCTCTTGACTACATTGTTGCTGCGATCCCCCTCAACAGCATCGATGCGGATGACATTAACTCTCTCGCACACTTCTGCATGTTGAATGCTATGGACATCTCAGAGTTCGCGAACCATGTCAAGGATTTCGATACTCTTGGTGAAAAGCTGAAGAATTTGCCAACCACATCCACTTGATAGCCGAGAAAGTGCGCAGTCTTCGGATCGATGTTGACTGGTCAAAGCTCTTTGTCATCGATAGCTTGGAGTTCAAGCGCAACATCAAACGGTACCCTTCTACCACGCACAACATCACTTTTGCTGTGAGTAGCCAGCTCAAGAAAAGCATGGGGCTCCTTAAGGCATGGTTCTTCCAGGAAGTAACATTCAATCGCACTTGGCCCGATATTCTTGCCAATCTCAATCAGTTCAAGAACCCATACGCAGATTACCTCGTGGATACGCGTTTCGGTTATCGGGACCTGACATACAAGAACGTGGGTGGGATCGACCCTGACGAGTGACCCGGTCCCAACAAGGCCTCGACCTACTTCATGGGTGCCGAGCATCGCACTGTTGCCTTGCTAGCTGGTGCCGCCGCCGAAGAGCAAGAGATGGTTGATAATCGTGCACTCGCACTTCTTGATACACCTATCCTAGCTGTGGTCTGGCCGGATATCTTCTCTTCGTGGGAACCACAGGACGATGATCTTGAAGTTTATGGCATCTTATTTTTACCATTCTCCATACTATCTCTAGGTGACGAGAAGCAGGGGGTGACGAGAAGCTCCTACCCTGACTCAAACTGTGAGGGTGCTATCAGGGGCGAGGCGATCGCGATACTTGGCTTCCATGAAGAATGTGGCACTAGATCCGACATCGGACGTGCTTTTGACAATTCAGGATCAGCGTAATATGCGACTCAGTGAGCGGTTCTGATAACATCGGCAGGGGGACTATTAAAGATCTTTCATAGTGAATATATACACTGTCGAAGAAAGCAAAGATTCTGTATGGTTTAGAAGATGTAGTCCAAATGGTTAAATTTAAGTATGCGTTGATTTTACAAAGCGTTAGCTATTCTTTTCCACCATTCACATGTTAAAAAATACTCAACTTGTTGTCCGATTTCATATCGGCAATTCTGTTTACCTCGTTGATTGTATGCGCCACGTAACCCAAACACATCACTCGGATACTGCAAGATACACACGATCATATTTGTCACGCAAGATAATTCATTAATATTTCATTAAAGAAATGCTGCTATACATATCCATAAATCATCATTAAGCCCTCAGTTCCTATTTACAGACCCCGGTGAGTCTCCTGGTGAGTGCTGCTGTGCCGTCGGCTATGATCGCTGTGAGGATCATCATGAGCGATCTCAGTGGGAACATGCTTTTGCAGGACAGAAGGAGGAACCTGTGTAGCATCGGTGGGATCCCGGCCGGCGAAGTTGTTGCTGTTGGAGAAAATTGGTGTCAAAAAAAAGGAGTCGTTGCAGGGGGTACCGGGACAGGTCGCTGGAAAGACTTACGACTGCTGGAAAGTCTTCTCCTGGCCAACTGTTTTGCTACCGTCAAGGTCGCTATCCACACGAGGATCAAGTTTGTTGGCCATGTCGCTAGAATGTGGTCCCGCGGTTTTCGGAGCAGGACCAGGGCCGGTGCCGGCGGTAGAACCGTATGTACCGGTAGAGCCAGTTCCGCCCAAGCCGGTGTGGGTGCCAGTGTGGGTGCCGGTGTGAGTGCCGGTGTGAGTGCCAGTGGGGCCGTGAGCGCCAGCACCGTGGCTGGAGAAGCCTGAAGTGCCAGTAGTTGTCTGGCCATAAGTGCCAGTGCTGCCGCCGAGACCGCCCTGGTGGCCGTGGGTGTTGGAACCGCCAAGTCGTCGAGATCCGTCAAGATCACTATCCACCTTCGGATCAAGCTTGTTGGCCATATCACTGGAATGGGGTCCAGCAGTGTTACCAGGACCAGTGCTGTAACCAGCAGATGTACCACCAATGCCACCATGAGCACCTGCGCCGTGGCTTGAAAGACCCGAAGTTCCAGTAGCAGTCTGTCCATAAGTGTTGGAACCACCAACACGTCGTGAACCGTCAAGATCGCTGTCCACCTTTGGGTCAGCCGCATTGGCAAGGCGGCTTCCGTGTGGTCCCGCGGTGCCTTCGGGAAGCCCTGAAGAATGAGAGCCAAGGCCGCCAGCAGTGGTATGGCCAGGCAGGTTCTCAGTGCGTCCGGTGGTGTGACCAGGCATGTTCTCAGAGTAGGTAGAGCCTCCAGTCAAGCCACCAGCTGTGCCAGTGTTGTGGGTGGAAGATCCCAGGCCACCAGCGGTTGTAGTGCCATGGTTCGCACGATGGTCTCCAGCAGGGTGCTCGTGGGACTTGTCCTTGTCGGAATGGATAGCGTCCTTGACTTTGTTGATGAGACCAGACATGATGAATGTAGTTTTTAAGTAGTTGTTCTGAAGTGATTGGGTATCTTGAAGATGGTGTGTGGAAGTTGAGTCAGAGTGAAGATGCTTTGGGTATCTTTGAATGCTGTTGTTTGATGATGAGAAGAAAAGATAGTTTCGAGGAGAGATCCGGTGAATCTTATATAGTTGAAGATTGTCATCCCGGGAGCCTCAATCTCGATGCCATCCTCAGCAAACCTGGCAGGCCCAAACTCTTTCGATCCTCAGATCTCGCTCGGCCTGTCTCGTCGTTCCTCTCTCCTCTCTCGCTTCACCCCTCCACCGACCTCATTCTGCGTCATAGCATTTACTCCGATCTTTGGAGGAGTCTAGCCCTGAGCTTGGCGACGATTGGTGAAGGCTTGTTTGCAGGGACAATCTAACGTCATGCCACGCGAGATATGACGTTGACGACTCGTAGGGCAGAAGCACCAGAGGAAGAAAGCTAGGAAAGCAACAAACGTAACAAGCATCGAACATCGGATTTCCTGCTCTTCCAATGCGCCAAGCTCATGTTGTGGAGCAGGAGACGGGATGTGAAAAGGGAATGACGAAGGGGCTCCGTGGCTTGAAAGTGAGATCTACAAGAAGATGATGCAAAGCTAGAGCCTGTGGCGTGTGGCGTGTATCATGGCTGTGATGCGTGGCGTCAGCTACCCCGGAAGGTGACAGAAAACGGCGAGATCTAGCGACACTTTTAGCGCGGTTCACGGTGGAAGCGAGCTCTGGTGTTTTTTGTCCAGACAGGCCACCCCCAGCTCTCAAACCAAGCTACCCCGCGCTCACAGGTTCAAAGTTGGCAGCTGGTCCCACTAGCCACCAAGGCAACCTACTACCTACCTTACCTTGAGCAAAATGACGCCAAGAGAAAGGCCGTTTTTCCGGTCCAACGAGACAAAGAAATCGACTTATGACAGCATTGATGCCTCTCCGGGCCTTGAATCCGCTGGGCCAAGAGCTTTCTTTCTGGCCAAGGCCGCTCTAGAACCTCTGTGACACGGCTAAAACCAGGATCACGAGGTCCCACAGCGACGGGAATATCCAGCGCTGAGTCGTGCAGACGAAGGAAGCTCTGTTATGCGGGATGCTTGCTTGCCATGGTGGCTTTTGTTCCTGTTCGCCAGTTTTCCGATAGACATGTGTTCTGGCAGTGCGGCTTGTAGTCAACCTCGTACCCTGCCCCTGTGCCTAGGACGGGACTAGGGTTATTTCTGGTCGTAGATCTCGATGATCATGGAAACAAGACGGACAGTAACAGTTGACGCGGTTAGGCACGTCTCCTGCGTGATAATCAGGTCGGCCAGAGGATGATCAAACGGGTAAGAAGAGGCTTGTGACCAAATCTCACCCATCCCATGTATGGACTGTATGGTAGGTGCCGTATACTGTGCTGCGCGTACAATATGGATAACAGACATCAGGGACTTCAAATCAGATTCCATCGTCCATTTTTAGTTGCAGATCATGACACTGTTCTCCATTGATCCATATTTGAAATCTTCTTTGCATTCGTACAAATGACGTCGAAATACATCAAAAGCATCCAATTATTGCAGTCTCATCCACTACAATACCAAATGTACCCACGTTGATCGACTAGTACATAGACGAGACAAAGATAGCAGCAAAGTATACATTAATTAATTTCAGTCAGTACCTAAGTAATAAGTGAGCACAGTATGGACTTGTTGTGGCCATCAATCGTATCAAAGGGTATCCAGATCCGCTCAGCTTCACATTGCTTACTTTGCCTTGTCCAACGCCAAGTTCCAACTCAAACAACAACAAAAAGAAAAACAAGGAAATCATCCACCCATCTCACGTATTAGTTCCCACCCGACACGGCATTTCGGAATGTTCCACGCAATCCAATCATGTCACCAAGGCCAACAAATCGCCAACTGATATCTTGCTCTGCCTCACTAGCAGTAGCCAGTAACCCTACCCTCCCGGAGGTTCTTCAGCACAGCTGGTGTGCTTCACACCTAACTGCATCTGCCCTTAGACACGGCTGCGGAACCAGGGGCCCCGGCGGCGGTTATGGTGAGCCGCCTCAGCACGGGCAACGGTACGCTCACGTCGGCGCACCCAGAAGAAGCCCACGAGAGCCGAAACAAGCCAGAGAAGTGCCGACAGGAAGCTAAAGGCGATCACGGCCTTGGTCTTCCCACACTGATCTCCGTGAACTGGATGCACATTGTCCCAGTCAAATACACGGCCGCAAGAGTTTCCAATGAGCTTTTTGAGTGCCGTTAGTGCATGTACAACTACCGAGAGTAGAGTAGAGTATCAAACAAGGCTGTGACTTACATCGACGAGCAGACCAAAGACGATCCACCAGTTGATGGACATGAAGATGTCCAGAGGCCAGTGAACAAAAGTGCTCGAGAATGGAATGAGGAGCAGCAGAGAGAACAATATTCCCAGCGCGGCAACGACTTCAGTGTAGATGAACCGGCCGAGCTGCCATGAGCTTGCGCCGCGGGCATTGTGCAGGTATTCGCCATTGACGCCTGCAACGATGGCTGCAAATACCAGCTCTGCAGCACGCAGAATCAAGCTGACGACACGATCGAGAGCCATGGCTACTTTGTAGGAGGGGTTTGATGTAGAAGGGTTGTAATACTCTGCTCGAAGTTGAGGTTTATGCTGTTCTATCTGTATTCTCCTCACAAGCAGCAGCCTTGGGACGAGGCTCCTTATTTATCTAGATACTAGATATCTAGCAATTCAGCAATACAACTCACGGGTCTCTCTACCACATGACGATGACGCCCCTCCCTCGACAGAAAATTAAATCCAATGAAGCCTGTTTGAGACCGTTTCCTTGGCTCTGAAGCTCTTTGACACGTCTACCGTGGCTCATAACAGGTCACCAGCACAACGAGTTGCCAGATGAGGTCATGCGGACCAGGCTTCAGCTAAGGTGTGGTGAGTGTGAACATCTGCCGTTCGACAGTCCTCACCTTGTATCGCAGCCCGACAAGGACCACTTCTCTGTTCTGAAACAAAAATGATGTCGCAGGCCAAGGCCCTTTTTTTTTCCTTTTTTTTTTTCAGCCCGACTGGGCAATTACTGAGCTTCTGAGTCTTGGAAGAAATCATAGCTTCAGGTGCCGAGATGCCGCCAATCGTGCCACGCATCATGCCAAGAGGGCTACCCTTGAGCCGCTTGCATCGTCCAAGGCTCTTATTTCGTGACGACCTCACGAATAAACCAGAATTTGGTGATTCAGTAGAACCTTGACGTTGCCTAACCCCATGCAACCTCTAGGCTGACGAAACGATCATAACTTTCAAGAGTCTGTTGCTGATCGGTAGCGCCTTGACTTATCATAGCTAGACAAGCTGTATACGACGTGACGCTGTTTGAACGGAACCACAAGCCTGTTTTCTGTACTTGGACGTTTCGAATGCTTCGTCGTTGGTGATGGGGTGACGACAGATATGAGGCTCGTAGTTTTCTAGCATGATTGGGCAATGCTCCATGTAATGAAATCAGTGTGCTTACAACCAACTTGTATAATGAGGCGACACTGAGAGAGGATACATTGGCTGTTCTTGTTCTCTCCCACACTTTAATGAGACAGATGGATGTCTCATGAACCGAAACTGTAGAGTAGGTTTCACTTTGGTTCCAGATTTAACCGTCAGTCATGTGCTTGCCTGCATTCCTCACAACTATTTTAGCCAGAACAATCACGAAGGCTTTAGACTTGAGGGTATACAAACCACTATAGTAACTTGCAAACCGTTTTTATTTGAAAACAATGCCACCATTGATCGTTTGCCATGATCCCCCCCATGCGCAGGTTATTCACAATTCAACGTGACTGAAAGGTGTCATACTAATAAGGTCGCCCGCTTAATAATCACATGAGCGAGTCCTACCCTACACATAGGTAGGTAGGCAGGCACCGAGCATCGCAGACTCGCCGCCAGGTACTATGATTTGACTCACCAAACCAACACTTTCACCGAGCATCTCACTCCCCTCACCATGCTCTCGTCATAATGTCCTCTTCCATCCCACAAGCTTTATGGAACGCCCGGATTCCGCTGCACATAACCCATCCAGCCTCACCGACAACGCCTTTCATCACTAGTATTCCGCGCTTCAGCTACCTGGCTCTTCTCATCCCAAGACTGTCGGTTTTCTTCAACTCGCCCTGCTCCAGTTTCCACTTTGAAGATGTACAGTTGAGGAACCTGGCTGTGGGATTGCTGGTAGACCTGTATCAACCCCGCCTGCCGTGGAGGTTGACCGTGAATGATGGAGTGGGCTGGGATATTGCGGATACTTTTCTCAACTGCGTGAAGGAGGTGAGTTTCATATGCTACACGAGAGCCTGCAGCCAAATACATGTTCTTGGTGTGTGTTCGCATCGGAAATCTGGAATTGCTCATCTCACAATAACGCAGAGCTGACTCGCTAAGGCTGACTTCATCCGCAATGGCAATGCAAACCAAATCATGAAAATGTCAAAAGACAACACCACCCAACTTTGGAACGCCGTCATAGACAATGACCAAACGTCCTTCAACCGTATCAATAACCATCTACTCAACGCACCAACAGCACTCAAACATGTCCCCATTCGCGTCTACATCCCTACCACCGCCTCGGACTCATCGTCACAAGCGTCTTCCGAGCAGGCCACCTTCAAAGTCATCCAGTCTCTTGTCCCAGCGACAGGTTCAGACCGCCGCCCTAAAATCCTGGGCCAGGCTCTCAAAGAGATGTTGCCAGGGCTATTCCCAAGCAGCCGAGATCCTATTCTCGCCAAGGTGGTGATGCACGGAGCTGGGGTACCATTTGATGCACCCTTAGAGGAGCTGATGCGGGAAGCCTCATACCCCGACGGATGGATATGCCTGGTTGTTATTGTGCTGTGATGGATACTGGGCTCCTTTAGCGAATAGGGCATATGAGTGGCGTTGGGGACTGTCCTTATCATTGGCTCTGCAGCGTATATCACTAGCTTCCAGAACCGTATTTGCGACATGTTAGACTTCGTCTTTGATACCATATTTTGGGCACTTGAAAATCTACTAACACACAGAGGCGCAGGCTCGGACATGATAACTACACTACGTAAAGGTGATCTTCTTGCCCATAAGACTTCTGTATGCATCGTCGACAGCCTTTCTCTTCTTCTGTTTAGCCTCCTCTTCCTCATGCATCTCTTCTTCCGCGGCGACATCCTCAGGTCCAGGTATTTGGGGTGCCCAAGCTCGAATTTTCCCATCCATGTGGGAGCTATATACGGCCCCAACCGAGTTGCCGCCACCCATAATAGGACCAACTGGGCGTCCCGTCCCCCCTGATGCGCGCCAAACTATACTAGTGATTCTGTTTCTTCCCATCTCGCCCCCTCGTGGCCTTATAGGGTTCGTCACGCCCGGGCTCCGGAGCCGTGTCACAATATGGCCATCATGAAGATCGAGGATAAGAATTTCCTGATCATTTGGCCAGAATAGAAGACTATTGCCACTTGTGAGATGCGCCGGAGAAACCAAAATACTTGCTGTCTTCGCGTGTTGATTCTGAATAAGAGAGCCAAAACTGGCGAGAGTATTAGCCCCCGTGGCGGCGTCCCAAACACGAATGCGACGGTCGAGACCAGCTGAGATGATGTATTTCCCATCGTCGGTCCACTGCAAACCATTTACTGCATCATCGTGCGCCTGTGCCGAGGCACGGAAGTGTGGGATCTGACTGGAATCCATCCCTGTGGCACTGAGATGTTTCATTTTGTGAACGATTCCCAATGAATCTTCCTGGTCGAGCAGCGCCACAACACCACCAGAACGACGAATGTCCCATATTCTGACTTTCCCATCTGCGTGGCCACTGACAAGAACATGCTCGTGGCGCGGACTCCATGCAGTTGACAAAACAGGGCCGCCATGTGCTACAAGAGCTTGTACAGCGGACCCTGATTTCAAATCCACCAGCCGAACTGCTGGGTTTTGCGTGGCACACGCCACAATAAGATGATCTGCTACAGGGCTGGTGGAGTGTGAATAGATAGTTGCGTTCAGGTCAAAGGTAGCCGATAGAGTGCAACGCTGAGTCGCCCATAGCTTCAGCTTCTTGTCGTAAGAACTTGAAAGAAAAGCATCCGGATCGAAAGGATAAAAGGCAACGTGAGTGACACCATGACTATGCCCAAGAGAAGACCCCTCTCTCGTGGACCTGGCTATGCTGCTCACGGGGCGGAAAGTGTGCAACTTGTTGGGGTTTTCAGCGTCTTCCAAATTCCAGACCTTGATGCCTCCTTCGGCCCCCCCAGAGAGGAGGATACGTCCATCGAACTTCTCAAGGGCGAGTGTGTTAACGCCTGCGCCATGTGCTCTTAAATTGTGCACACGCTCGCCTACATCCGTAGGGCTATGCCTGGACGTTCTCTCGCCATTGAAGCGGTGCTGAGGAGCTGGCGCAAAAGAACGTAGGAGTTCAGAAGTGATGGACCGAGTAAAGTCTTGATGGCGGAGATCGCCCGTTTCACGAGCGAGAAGGTTGGACTGCATTCATCTGTGCCAGGGCAATGACAGTTTGAAGACAATTTTCAAATTGAATTATAAACCAAAACAATGTAAGGCACTGAACAACGGCAGTAATCTCAATCTTGCAGCTTGTGGAATGTGGTTTCAGCCTGGAGCCGGTGGTGATGTCAGCTGCAAGGCGTGCTTGTTTGAAGGGACCACTCGCTACTACCTACTTAGGCACCTACCCTATCTCTACCCCACAATTGACCACCCAAACTTTCCATCTTCATTAGGTAGGTAGCCTCAACTTAACATTGACAACAAGCATCAAACTGTCTAGGTACCTGACCTTTCGAACTCGTTATCCATTCCGCTCTGATCTTCTATTGTACCTCACTCAACATCCTTGACATTGCGCAACAAACAATGCTTCTGTGCGCATATCTCGAGTGTCTGAGAATCTCGATATTTTTTTCACCCTGAAACAGTAGAGAGCAACAGATCAAACATCAACCTCCAACCTCCAACCTAGCTTTTCATTGCACATCATGGACATCTCAAAGAACGACTCACGTATAGCATCTTTACATCAAAGTGGCGTCTCCTCCAACCGAGATCCTGTGGCTACCGAGCAGGATCCCAGCAAGGGATCAAAACGCAGACATGCAACTGTCTATGATGCTGTAGCGGGTATTAAGCTCTCCTATGATCGTCCGATTTGAAGCTCACATAACCCAGGCAAAGTCTCACATGACCAAGGTCCCGTAATGGAACCGGAAGAGTTACAGTATACACCTCGTCGCCCCAAGGCAATCAGATACTCCACAAAGGATATCCCTTTAGCTCCTGACGAAATCCTATTCAGGCGGAAAGATGCACCCGTGCGTTACTTGGAGCACGACATCTATTACGCTCATGAAAATGACCTCCCCTGTGGAGGACAGGGTGTCCTGCCAGATAGTGACCTCCTCAAAGCCATTCACGCTTACACCAGTGCCTTCTACAGCGTCAGAAACCGCGAGCGCCAACCTCCGGAGAGCCGAAACATTACTGAACGGAGCATGGATGAGACAGCTCTCTTGGCATTTGGTATCCTCCTAGAGGAAGCTGGCAAGGAGGTCCTTGGTCGACGAGGCGACCTAGTCTTCACTGAGGGTGCAGATGACGGTCCTGTCGACGCATACGAGCCAGTCCAAGATGAGACCCGGCTCGTTGGGCATCATGACATCTCCTTGCGGGGACGTCCTAAGCGGCGAAAGATCGCCGAAAGTGACGCTGAATGACACGGGGTTATTCTCCAACATTGAACGACTGTACAGCTTGAGGGGGCGGTGTGGGCCATCATTTGCATACCATGTTTGTCCAAGCTCTCCAAGGGGGGAGTTTGCCTGGACGACAAACCCCGTTAGGGAACGCATTTTCAGATAGTATCACCTGTTGCACCAGACAACGGGCATATATGGATGGATGGCGTTGCAAGTCTGAGCTTGAAGCTTGGATTTTACCAAAACTCTGACAAACGAACCGGAAAGTCGTGCACTTTGCAATCACTTAACCTCAGTGGTGGAATAAACATAGCGTATTCATACTTGCTTATACCGGCAGCTGGCATATACCTCGCGTCAATTGTCAGCCAAAGACACGAAACATGGGGCTGGCCTATCAACTTCCCTTCTCACCTACCTATAGCTGCGTAACTATGGCGGCATGGGCAGGTAGCATCGGTTTGGTTACACAAAAGATAACGTCAACAGCTCACATTGGGAAGGCGATGAGCTTTCGCGAACAGGATCATCATACACCCGAGTCGCATCTTCGCGCCGAGGAACCGACTTGTGCAAAGGGGCCTTGTTTGAAGAGGCAAAATGGCCTTGAAGTACGAGACGACGCATGGGTGACATTAGGAAATCTTTGATCACAACTGTCACGCAACTATGCCACCCAGACCAGGATAGGCGAAACCCCGAAGAAAAATGGATATCAGGAGCAGATTCGTTATTTCGACCTTTGCCTTGCAGGTTCAGCCGTCAGTTACGAAATGAAAGAATCATTATCGTGTTCCAGCCTGACTAGGCTTGCTGGCATGAACCAGATTCTTGGGTAACGCGATTGTAGCTTCCAGTTTCTTTGATTGCTGCCTATTTATGAAGCTGCCTTTTTCATACCAGATCTACCAGATGCTGAATCCATCGGCCCATCCCCAGACCTACAGTTCAGCCTGAAGCTCAGTGGAACAGCTTGGCAGTCATCACGCTGGCAGAACTGGCCCCCCAGCAACGAAATTTCCGTTTCAGAAAATGGAAGTCAGTCAATCTTATCAAGATGTCTCGTCGATCCGTTCGCATTACTGGAACAAAGTATCCCTGTCGTGAAATTCGACATACGTACCAGCACTTCGTCGTCACCGATTGTTTCCTAACCTCCGGCCGCAAACGCCAATTGAAATCAATAGAGCAAAAGGACCGACTGCCAACGACATCTTTGTGACGATGTTCTTGTACTCAACGGCCGCAGTCGTTGTACATAGTACAGCCAAATTAACTCTTGAACTTATAGACCGAAGAGACAGGTCATCTTGACCCTGAACGTGAAACAAAAAGAGGCAATCTACTTCCGCCTCGGCCAAGAACGGTACGTGGAACGAAGTAAGCCTCAGCTTTCAGAGTACCTAGCACAGACCTTTTATCGGCGACTTCAACGCTTGACGATGATGATGTAGAATTGACCTCAAAGGAGCGATATCATAGGGCTGTCGAGGTCGAGTCTAGTTGCTCAGGTTATCTCGGAGAAGGTTTCGCGAGGCTATGATGTTTCTCAATCTCGACATGATGATATACACTGTTGTGAACAAAAGACCAGCTCATTTTACGCTCATGCGCCCGGCAAAGCTTCTGGGCCAAGGTCCTCAAAAGCTATTACATAGGTACTTGTACACTTCCCAACCCCTCCAGCTCATGATCGGCATAAAGTTTTTCTTTTCCTGTGTATTGGATGCTAAGGACTCTGGAACTGGAACTGGAACTGGAACTGGTGCGTGCACTGCGTGTATCAGCTAGCAAGCCTCAATCCCATCAACAAGATAAACACGAATCATCTAGAGGCCATCAGCAGAAGGTCGCTTTCAGTATGGTTCGGATCACACGAATGGCTTGCGACAGAGTGCTATCGCTATCATATCATCATGGTCTCTTCAATCTCGGTTCGTGGCACTAGGTTCAGCGACATAGCCAGAAACGGTGAAAACAGCCGCGTTGTGGGCTGCTGGCGCGCCACGCGACCTCACCCGAGATCCTTGACCATGTATGTATGTATGTGTGTATGTGTGTGTGTAAGCCATGCCATGAACACTGCTGTAGCTGTTCGCTCATGCTCCGGACACTGAAATGGGTGGTACAGGTATCATAGCCAGGACTTCGTATAGCTGTGACGAGTTAAATGGCAGGAAACAAAAGGCGGCCGAAGTAAGGTAGCATACGATCAATCTGGCCCTGCAACCTTGGCCTGGCTACGTCGTCGCGTGGTCCGTGTGGACTGATATGGCATCTCATCTTACTCTTACTCTTGCTATCTGTTTCGTTGTTGAGCACGAACACACAGAGACGCACACGCTGAAGCACATCGTTGCAAAATCTGCGCTTGAAGTATAGACATCAGGATTCAGCAGCGAGCGTCTACCCTCATGTGTTGATATGTTTTGGTTGATAGAACGATCTTGACCTTGGTCCACCGCTCGGACCCTTCTAGATGGCCTGATATCAATCTCTCGTCCCGCGCTATTGCGCCCTCTACTGGCATCAGTTTGCACGTGTTAGGCATTATCTCAGGGTCATGTGGTTGCTGATCATAACAACGCGATGTACGGAGTAATGTACTCCGCTATGCAACTTTTGTGACTGGTGCCAACGATATACTTTCCCCGCATCGGTGTGTAAATTGTCTCTCGTGACTTGCAGTAACATGGTGCGGGTGATGATACATATACTTGCAAGTCAACCGTGGAGCATACATAGTATGAAATATCGTACCTCAGCCAGAGTGCATATGGCGATTGAGATCCGCGTCCCAGTATCTGTCCCCCTCCATAAGCATGGCGTCGGGTACCTGGACTGATAGCACCCGTCTATTATAGTGGCATGGTTCGTCTTATTTGACTCTGAGACATGGTTTTGCCTTTATCCAAGTATTGATACTAGATTCCAGGTGAGAGTCCCTAGCAAGGAAATCTACCGGCGGCACAGGAAACTCCGTTCACGCTTTCGGATTATGAGCTCCATTTCAACCATGATTTGGAGCTCCGGTTACATATTGGCGCACGATAACATAACCTCGTTGGGTTGTATAGAAAGCAACTCAGCCCTAGTATTATACTGATATACTAGTAATTGATGACCTGCATATCGCGTAGGGTAGTGAACTTGTGAACACATTCTGTAGCTGAGATACTGGGACCTAGGTAGGCAAGTGTATTTCAGCCATTGATGTTTCAGCGCTTGGAGTAAGCCAGATCAATGCTACATGAGAACTGGGGTTGCTATTGCCATACCTACTTAGACAGATGCATCTGAGGGGTTATCATAATGGAAGCTGGATCACCGTCGAACTGTGATGATTCTATGTACAAGCTAGGTTATACGGAGTTAGTCTTGATGCCCGGCTGATAACTGAAGGCGTCAATACATACCAGGAGTGTATTCGGGGTGGCTGAACAAAGTCGATAGGTCACAATAAAAGTGCGTCTTCTAGAACAACGAAGAAAAGACGGTGCAATGCGCCTAATAGCTGCTATCACTGGAATAGGTATGGGTTTGCGAACCTATGTCGTAGCCATGAAATGTAGGGTAACAACGTAGACTTGAAAACTGTGGGGGCCACCAACACCAAGAGACCACACACAACTCGCATTGTAAACAAGCCCCCCAACGTTACCCCCAATAACGATTCAGGTTTATTTACCAGCCAAGAGGAACAACTGGTGATTGATGAGTGTTGAGTGGTGAACACTGGTAAATCCCACACGCGGCGCGGAGCCATCTTGGGCCTGG